TATGAGCAGTACTATGGACATAACAGAGTATATTGTTTCGCCCATAATACCCCCATGCGTTGCCATTCCTGAGGACTCAGGTGTTATTCCTCTGTACCTAGTAAATTCACACCATATCCCACCCTTCAAACCGAAATACAATCGACTTTTATACAAAGTCTCCTCCTAATGTTCCCGATAGGATCGAGCTTGGGCCAGTATAACAACCATGACTCTGAACAAATAGACCTTGTTCTATGTAAACGGTATTTCATAGATTTCTTGTGAAGAATGTAAAAGAAATTTGTACTTTTAGCTAATTATCTTAGTGACTGGACGCAATATTTAAGTGTGAGTTACTTAAATGTCGTGCAATATCAATGTCAATGGTGTATTACAGGTTTGATTCATCAACATCATCATGTTCATATCAACTGTTATCTGTTCATTGCTGAACATAAGCCTCCCCCATAAGGAGGGTTTTGCCAGTAGCTGCCATTGCTTGACAAACGGGTTAGCAATCTTAGTTAAGGTTTCCTGATGTATTGGAAAGACGCTGCTGCCCATCTTTCGACATTTATGTTCTCTTAGTCGTCTTCTATCTATCTCTCACCTATTCCTCTACCGAGGCTATCTTAGCCTCGGTAGAGGAATAGGTGGCTGATATGCCGGGACGTCTGGACCCAGCAAGGTTTTGATTACGTTGATTTATTATCTAGTGAACGTTTCTCACTGCGAAGTATTGTGGACTTTACACATTTTTAAAAAGCGACAAACTCAAAAAGGAATGTTTTCTATAATAAAACAAGAATGAAAGACTGCACTCGTGTTTTTAATTTCTTTTTTTTTATATCCATCTAATTTGTTTGTTGGATATTTATTTGAAAGTTTACAATTGCAGATAAAATAAATATTATAATTTTCCAAAACAGACTACAAATAACGGACTTATGATATAAAACACAAAAAATATGATCAAATTGAGATCATCTTCCTTTTTTGAAGTCAATTGAAAACGAAGTATAAAAAATAATGACAAAGATAAATACAAATTGGAAGGTGAAATAAATAGTGTCATTATGTAGGAAGAAGACAGAGGAATACGTATGTATGGTAAAAACGGTGTCCACGTTTCTTTTGTTGCTGACTGTACAATGAAAGAAGTTTGAACTTTCATATAGCCTACTGATTGGACTCGGTGGCCGCGTGCGAGGTGCTTGATTATCGTGCAATGTCCTATGGCATGTGTTAAAGGGTAAACAAATTTTGATTGCAATTGTGCAATTGTTTCACTAGCTTCATACGCGGTTTCGTTCGTGTGATTTAGCATAAAAATACTTTATGTATTTCTACAGTTGGATGAATCGTATAAGCTTGCAATTGTAGTTTATTTATCGTTTTCTAAATATATATATAAAAAATATTTTATTTATTATTATTTATAATATAATAATGTATATTATAAATAATAATAATAGTTTAATTTCAGTTTATATTATACATTTGGTCATAGGTTTCTATAGGTGTAAATTTCTTGTAACATAAATTAATAAATAAAATATTTTGTCACACGTTCCTTGGGGAAAGTGCTCAATGACTCCTTGTGCAGAAGTACTAACTGTTCGCCTTCTTATAGTGCCTACGAGTACATCCTGATACTGCCTACTACTACTAACCTATAGATAACCCTTGCGTTCTCGGAATAGCTAATATCATAACTTTTTTACAGTTAGGGTTCTGTTTCAAAATGCGAAAACCGAAAGTCTAGATCGCTTTCTTGTGCGTCGGTGTATCTGTTATTAAAATCACATTTCTCCGAAACGGTAACTTTATTATATTGAATCCAGTAAAAATAATAAGTTAAATGAAAAGTTATGTTCATTTTTTAAGTAATTAGCGAGTAATTAAAATCTTCGAGTCATTTAGGAAATGAACTAAATATGTAAAACTTAGCTTACAGTAAAATTTTTAAATAGAATAGAGTACAAATACCGAAAAGGTTCTTAAAATATATATTTTTAAGTAATATTATTTTAATTTTTTTATATCAAAAACACTAATATTTTATAAATAATTAATACTACGGGACCCGGGATACTCGAATTTTATGTGAATTATAAGCAATAAGATTTATCTCTAGCTTAATCTGTATAAATTACTAATTTAATATAGAATATTTATCAATTTTCAATACAGATAGAAATAAATACCATAAAAGGTTAAAAAATATAATATATATTCATGAAATAGAAAATGAATTAAAAGATAATCCCAACAATATATGTTATATATAAAATATATAACATATAATAATAATACTTCTTCAGATACCGACAGGATTTCATGTATGTTTACAAAATCACTTTTTTTCGGTGTATGAGAAGAAAGATAATTGTAGAAATTCCTGTAATGACTTCTCTGGTGCTAGACATGATCAGTAACATTCATTTTACGCTAGAGGAAATTAAAAGAAAACTTTAAAAACTAGATACAGCTAAAAGCTATGGGCTCAGATAAAATACACCAACTTTTTTTTATAAAGTGTGCTGATACATTGATTCTTCCATTGAGTATGATTTTCAGTAAATCTCGCGGTTCGGACATATTGCCTGACGAATGGAAAGAGAATCAAATCGAGACAGATCTTAACTAATTATCGAACAATATCTCTGTTGTCATCGATGTCTAAGCTATTTGAGTCAATAGTTCATTCTGTCATGGATTCTCATATAAAAAAGTACATAGTAAATACTCAAAATGGTTTTATGGCCAGAAGGTTAATAAACACTAACGTTATACTTTTAACTTCAGTATTAAAAGACGCAATCGATTGAAATGTTCAGGTAGATGTAGTTCACACCGATTTTGCAAAAGCCTTTGATAAAGTAAATCATAGTATCCTAGTGAAAAAATTGCAAACATTTGGAATAGTAGATAATATAATACTAGATAGTAAAAATAATAGTAGATAAAGTGTAAATCTTTCCTTAGAAACTGTTGAAACTTACTTAGAAACTGCCGAAAGTACTATATAACGGTGTTCAATCTTCCTCCTTTGTGGTATTCTTAGGTGTACCTCAGGGCTCTACGTTAGGACCACTGTTTATCAATGTCTTGATCAATGATATTATTCATAATATTAAGCATACTACATACATAATGGCTACCGATTTATCGATGACTTTAAAATGTTGAAGATAGTAACAAAACCCTCAGATATAGAATGTTTTTAAAAGGACATTGAAAACCTAACTAAACGGCGTAATAATGACAAAATGTATTAATGCTTAAAAATGTTATCATGTAAAGTTTACACGGAAACTCAAGAAGTTGCAATCACATTATTTTATTGAAGGTAAAGGTACTTCGAGAAGTTAATGTTATGTGAGATTTTAGGGTTTTGATGGATAGTCAACCAAGATTTTTAGATCATATTGATAAAATTATAAAGGAATCAAATCGTTATTGGAAATTATCCTGAGACATACAAGATGCTTCAAGAAACCATCCACTGTCATTAAACTTTACGATAGCTATGTAAGAAGCAAGTCGGAGTATTGCAGTATGGTATGGTCTCCTATGTGTAAGATACACGACGATAGGATAGAAAGAATTCAAAAGAAATTTGTTCGTAGTCCAGCATATCATTTTAAAATACCAAGAATTATTAAAACATACAAAGACAAAACTAAACATCTTCTCCTTAATAAACTATGCCAACTCAGATTTGTCCTAACTTTATATTATTTGAATGATTTAATTATAAGTATATATGTATTAATATCTTTATTCATTTGACAACTTTTTTTTACCAGAGGGAGACTTTATATAAAAGTCGATTGCTTGGGTACCTCTGTCCTATTCGTGTTTCAACCGTGAAGCAGTTGCATGGCTGTGTTTCGGTTTGAAGGGTGGGATATGGCGTGAATTTACTGGGTACAGAGGAATAACATCTGAGTCCTCAGGAATAGCAACGCATGGGGGGTATCATGAGCGAAACAGTATACTCTGTTATGTCCATGGTACTGCTCATTTCTATAGGCGAAGGTTACCACTTTCCATCAGGTGGGCCCTCAGCCTGTTTGCCATTCTAAGTTGTATAAAAAAAAACTTTTAATAATTTAATATTTCAATATTTCACAAATACAAAGCATGCTGTAGTTGGCTCTAAATGTAAGAACAGTGAGCCCTAACTCACTACTGTATTGTATTGAAATGCTTCGCTGTATTTTAGTTTCGTGATCCTATGAATAAATAAATAAAAGTGTTAGGAAACTCAGTTTTGAATTAGGGACTTTACGCGATGACGTCTCTGTAAATGAATATTGACAAATTAAAAATCTTCTTCTTTTAAAAGTCGCTTAAATATTACAGAACATTTCTAAATGCGTAGGTACATTACACAAGAATAAAATATTAGATAGAAAAAATATATTTTTAAATACAAGTTGTTTTTTTAATTTTTTTTAGATAAGCTTTTTTAATATAATCTGAATAATCCAACTTGTGTGCAATTATTTTAAAATGATTTCATTTATTGTCCTACTATTTACTATTCAATTTTTTTTATTTAATACCGACAACGGCCGTTTTTAACGTATATTGTATAATATTTTTTTGGCCGTAACTATGTACGCATGAAATTTTGAAGTACGTAATCACTTCAGGATAGTGTAGCTACATACACCAGATTTTAAGTTACGAAAGGATTGTAACTGAAAATTTAACAGAATATAAATATAGTTGTTTTTGCGTGATGCCGGCACAAAGATACAGGCAGACAGACAGACAAAAATTCTAAATTTTTTTTTATTTAACTTACAATGTATATTACATTGTAAGTTAAATAAAAGTTTGTAACTAAACATTTCATTCATAATCTAGACATTTGTATGTAGTTCGGTTTCTTCTTTCAATACGGCTACGGAACCCTTTTAATCTACATAAAAATGTTATCTTTTTTTTACTACTAAATGTTATTGAAACTTCTGCTATATAAATTCATGATAACGTTTTGTATTTAATCTTACTAGTCAATTAGTACGTAATTAGTTACCCAAGAGGCTGTACTCCGAAAATGCTTTACATATTGTTAATTATTGTGTTGTCCCTGGTGTTTTTGCACCTATATGTCACCTACAACAAGGATGCGAGACTCCTGATGAAGGTGCCCGGAAGGAAGAACAAGTTTCTCATCGGGAATGCCTTGGAAATATTTGTACCACCAGGTAAGTAATTTGTTAAATTCATTTTTGTGTGTAAAGGCAATGTGCATGAAGATTTCTGTCTTCGCCAAAGGGAGTCTCCCTTTATACAATAGTTATATACTTAGATATATTTCACCTCTCGGTTTCTATCGGATGGTAATGGTAGGATGTGGCAGTGAATTTACAAGATACAGTTATAACTCAATCAACAGAAATAGCAATACATGAGAGGTACTTAAATGTTGCAAAGTTCTGTAACATTACACGGACATTACAGCTTCAGTTCATTTAAGCAGATGAAGTTCAATATTTCCTATCAAAAGGAGATCGTCAAGATACCATTACAAGCTGTATGTAGAAATTTATTCCTATTATCAAGTAGCTTAATTGCATACTGTGTTTGAAGAGTTAAATTAGTGATCTTCATATCATTAGGATTAGGAGAAACAGGAGTGTGATTTTTCTTTTAATTTACATTCAAGCAAATTGTAAGCTTAATGTTCCTTTTTTTTGCTAAAAAAGTAAAATTGGTATTAACAGCAAATATGATAATTTTGATTAGAGGTATAGGTCGATAGCTAACTCAAGTAGGATTTGACATATTTTTGTCAAACGACTTCAAAAAGGAGGAGGCCCTCAATTCGGTTGCATTTTTTTAACTTTAATAACTTCAAATCCCAAATCCATCAGTTGTAAACCTGATTAGGAAATTTATTTTTTTGTCTAAAAGGGCGTGCTTACTCTCATAGAAATTTTATTAAAACCGGTTTAGTTGTTTAGTTTTGAAATCAAAATAACTCGGCTTTGCTACAATTGAAGTCGGTTCTTTTTGTGAAACCCTGTTTTATAGTTAAAGTTAGAGACTTGGTTATAAGCAGTAGTGTCAAGAAATTTGAATATAAAATTAGGGAGAGAATCATAATCACTCGATTCAATCAGTTCTCAATAAGATTAGAGATATGATATGTATATATTTGTTTGGAATCATTGTAGAATAAATAAAAATTTCTTTGCTCTCCTTTATCTTTTATAATCCTCGTTACAATATGACGTGAGGGAGATGAGTTAAATTAGAGAAGGCGATTTCACTATCGCAATAACGTTTCCGCTGCACTGTGACGGTTATTACAAATAATGAGAATATTCTAAAACAAGGTTTTACAAAGTTGCTCAGAAAACTATGGAGAGAACTACGCTCGCAGTTACGTTGTGTGATAGAATGTGGAATGAAAATATTCGTGGAAGAATTACAACTGACGGGGAAGCAAGGTTCTGGAGTGATAATCTTCATAGACAAACGCAATGTAGTATGACTCCATATTACATGATGGAGAGATCAAATATAATGCGGGATGTCTTTGGAAATGGATTGCCCAAGGCTGTCTCTTATAGCAGCCTATGGGAGAGACCAAAATTTTGCGTTAACCAATTAATTGCTGAAATGATAATGATTATATTATGATGAGACAACAACGATGATAGGCATCATTTAAAGATATAGTAATAATGATAATGAATTAGATTATGTTCTGTGATGTTAAATGTTAATCATATCTATGGAAAATTATGATTTTTTTCTATCAAGTGGATTATTAATTGTTATTTTTAACTTTCAGAAAAACTCATTGATATGAGGTCTGGATATGCCAAACAATTCAATGGAATATATAGGTTCTACTCGTACCCATTTAAATTTGTATGTATATACAATCCGCAAGATATAGAGGTAAGATATATAAATTGTTTGTTTATACCCAACATAGACAACATAGTCTGTAGTTCTCATAATTGAACGCTTATAGTAATAAATATTAACCTAAGATCTCGCTGCTGATTTTTGTAGGTATAAGACTTTTTGCTGAAACTTGTTTAAATGAAAGACGAGAAAAATATAATGCAAAGTAAATGCATGATGAGGTTACCAAAAAAATACATTACTTACCTATTTTCATCTAGCAGTCATGGGTTGCGGTATAATGCAGAGAAGGCAACTTAACCTTGTGATTTCGCTAAAGATAATTAAGCAAATCAGGAACACAATACACTAACGCAAAAGAAAAATAAATCCTTTATTAATCTTAGCATGGCTATTTTTCATCCCAATTGGAATTTTTTTTTTAATGAAATGGTAACCCTGTCTGCACTATCGGTACATACTGACGAGACACCAGTGATTGGTGAGGATAAAAATGCAGGTCAGTTAGCCTATCATGAGTAATTCAACGATATATAAATCACGACAGTTTCTAGGGGAAACTGCATGGAGGTAGACCTGATAGGGTATATTGATAGCAATGGGGACTAATCTCTCCATTATTTACAATTCCTTCCCCCCAATTATTACATATCGGCACGGTTTATTTACAGCTATTATTTTATTTACAGATAATATTGTCTGGTATGAAATTTTCTGAGAAATCTTTCTTGTATAATTTCATCAAACCTTGGTTGGCAGAGGGGCTGCTTCTCAGTAAGGGTATGTATTGTATATAGTGAAAAAATAAGAATATACATCATTCATTAAGCATATCAACAAATAATAAATTGCAAATAACAATACATAAATTATAGTAACACGTTAACTAAAACCGAATACTGTATTCGTTTAAAAGATCTACTACATTTTAGTTCTTAGAAATGACAACGCATGAACTGTACCGTGACATTATAGTCTATTCTGTATTGTCCATGGTACTGTTTATGTATATAGGCGACTGTTACCAGTTTGTATCAGGCATACGATTAGCTTGATTACTATGCTAAATTGTATATAAAGATTAATTAAGACTCAAAAGACATTGGAAGCATCATAAAACGAAAAGTCCGGCAATATTTAGAAAACCTCATCTAAAAAAATTATCTAAATGATCTGCATGTACTTTGCAGGTCAGGTAAAAACTTAATACATTTTTGGGGGATCTTTGTGATTCAGAGGAGACGAGTGTAATAATCTCGAATTTTAGTTAAAATTTATTTTTTTCTAATTAGAGATTAACATTTGCTTTTTATGAATTCCTTACTCTTTACTTCATTGACAGTTATTTAACTCTTACATCGTTACAGGTGCAAAATGGCAAAAACGCAGAAAGATTCTGACACCTGCCTTCCATTTTGATATTCTTCGTCAATTCCATGTTACCATGGAGGAGAACAGTAAACAATTGACCGAAACCCTGGAGAACGTTCCGGAGAAAGCTGACATCGTACCTATTATGACTAACTATACACTGAACACTATCTGTGGTGAGATATTGTTAACGTATGCATATGAATTTATATAATTTCTCTGGGATCGTCCCAGTGACCAGGATATGTTGATAGAATAGGATAAAAGTAATCTATGTCCTCTACCATTTCAAAATTGCTATGTGTGTTACTACATGTATATTATACATGTTAATGTATAGCAAATTTCATAACGATTGGTTGGTTGGCGTTTTGTTTTGAGTTTTTCTTCTCTCTTATTAATATATTTTGCTTGATATTTGATTTTAAAGATATTCTGTGGAAGAAAAAACAGTGACTATTGAAGAATAATATATTTTTTGGTCCTACACAAACGAGTAGTTTAAAAAAATATAAATATTTATATATGTGCTTGCTTATTGTGCAATTATAAATAACTTTGGCATATGTATATGTGTGTATTAGATATTATTTTGGATTTCATAATATAAATTAAATATTACAAAAGGACCGATTCTGTAGCGCTATTTCTCTAAACCTTTCTTAACCTAATATTTTAATTCGATAATTTCACGAGTTTACTATTTTACGGACCATCGAGGACTGGGTAGTAGCGTCCCTCTTAAAACATCAGCAAAGCGTAGCTATAGTTGCCAACTCGCCTACCAGGCGTGGCACTACTGGCAAAACCCTGCGAATTGCTAGTGGGGAAGTTATGTTTAGCAGTGTATAGTTAACGGGAAGCAAGGAAGAAGTATAAGGGATGTCTAAAGATTTCGCTGTGGTGTCCAATTCAAATCTTAATTTTAGGGATAGATTTAGAGAAACGACGCTTCAGAATTAACCCAACAATAGTAAATAATAATAAGTTTAAATACAATCGTGTCTTTTTTTTTTTATACAGAAACCGCAATGGGTACAAAGCTATCAGACGAAACCTCAGCTGCAGGGATGTCATATAAAAATGCTATACTTACTCTTGGGAATATATTTGCGCAACGTTTTATTAAAGTTTATTTATTTGTCGACTTCATATATAATTTGACTTCACTGAAAAGTCTACAAAAGAAGTATGTAGATATCGTGCAAGCATTCACGGCAAATGTTATTGAAAATCGAAAGAAAAACTTAGATCAGCAAATTAATATAAAAAATAATAAAACAGAAGAGGACGATATTTATAACAAAAAGAAAAAGGCTGCTTTCTTAGATTTACTATTGGCTGCTGAAAATAATGGACAAATTGACAGAGCCGGAGTACAAGAGGAAGTTGACACATTCATGTTTGAGGTATTTTATATGTATATTAATAATCGAAGTCTAATCATCAATATTTCTCAACTTTCTTTTTTTATTATAAATCTCTACCCAAAGGTACCCGTAACATTTGCAGCATTTTCGCGTTGGGTTGCAGGAGATATCCTTTGAGCCAGATACAAACCGGCTCCTCCTCCTCTCTTCCTTTCCTAATTGATATTTATAAAATAGTTATAAATATTTTTTTGTAATTTACATATCTCTTGGTCTATGTCACTTAGACAAAATTTTTACTTAATAATATGAGAATTTATTTTAAAATGAAATACTACCTTTTTGTTTCATCATATTTTGAATAAATCCAGAATTACTGCGTTATCTTTGTATCTCGTAAAAAAACTTGTCCTTGTTAAGAGGTACTGATTGCTAAGCGTCGTGTTCCTTTAATTAGACTAAAAAAGGCAATATCGTACCTGGCTCCATATTTTATCTCTTGTTTGTGCTCTTTGGTAATTTTAGTTTAAACGTGCGAACTTGTTTTGAAACTTGTGTTGCTAAAAATAAATATTATTTTCCAATAATTTGTTCCACATTCACTTCCACGTCACCAGTTAATCTGTTGGAGTATTATTTATTTATTATGAGTAATTAATTATTAATATTAATCAGTAATTAGTAAATTCATTCCATTTATGAGCAATTAGAGATTAGGAGTAAAACTGATTAAATTTAATTATTGTATTGTATAAATTTATATTTTTTATTAAAATATTGTATCTTTTAGGGTCACGACACGACATCAGCTGGACTTTCATTTTTAGCTCTGATGCTTGCAAACCATCAAGACGCGCAGGTAATTAAAATCTAAATAATTATTTCTAAAACTTATTTAGTAATATTGTAGGGAGATTTTGTTTAAAATTTATCTACTTGAGTAGCTTTGTTTCTCTCGTGATCTCCAAGATAATGTGTACATGATAGAACTTCATTATTAAATGATACAGCAGCAAAATTACATCATATAGAGGTATAACATCTTAATTCTCAGGAACGATAGCATAGGATATCATAAGAAGTGATTAAGGAAATTAAGCATTAAGTGGAGAGAAAGTCAGAGAGAGATCAGATTAAGAAATAAAATTTCTGAGTCTGTCGAGATTAAAAGATTTTAAATCTATGCATATCTATGTGACTTCTGAGATTCTAGATAGATTATTCTCAAAAATATGTTTATTGATAAAATTGTTGGTAATTATTGATACTGGTGTTATAATATATAATATTTTTGAAAATAATGGTGCATCTCTCTCTCTTTCTTTCAACCTTACAATTTGAGATGGACTTAATCTTGTGATTATTCTAATTGTCTTTTGATATGTTTTACACAACTTCTGGTAATATCTCTATAGAAAAGTGACACTTACCTTTCCTTTTTGTGGTCGAGGTATGGGTAGCAGCGTTTCGCTTAAAATATCACCAAAGCCTAACTGTGGTTGCCAATCCGCCTGCCAATGGAGTACTGGCAAAGCTTCTCTTATGGGAGGGGGGGGGGGGGTGAACAGATGATAGCTGACATGATGATGATGATAAACAAGTGTCAAAGAAATCTATCGGGAGAATCGTATTCGCTAAGGTTATTACATAGAATGATAGCGAAATTCCGTCTTGTTCTCTTATGAATAATTACTGAAACAATTTATCAATAGAAAGATTGTCACTTGTCTAGGTATACTGGAGCCTATTTCTAAATAATGACAGACCACATAAAAATCAATCAGCTAGAAAACTAAATACTCAGAAACTAATAGAAACAAATATAAATTTTCAGCAAAAAGTATACGAAGAAATGCAGAGCATATTTGGTGATTCTACAAGAGTAGCTACCACTGATGATTTGGCCCAAATGAAATATTTGGAACTTTGCATCAAAGAGTCTTTAAGGCTATACCCTCCAGTTCACTTCATAGCGCGAGCTTTAAATGAAAGTGTAAAATTAAGTAAGTATTACATATTGTTAACATTATTATTATATTCTTTATTGCACTTGTAAATTAAATTGTTAATGCATTTATAAATATTGTGAGCAAGGGTGGACTTATCTCTGACAGAGATCTCTTCCAGTCAACCCAATGCAGTTAGAAAATATGTTGTTAGCGGGCAGCTGATGTTAACCTTAATTTAAATCCGTATTTATAAATGTTTAAGTTTTATATCGTTCATCTTGTATACCGCCATTTTATATAATCTATCTTGTAACAGTTATTAAAATACAAGCAAAGTTTTTGTTTAGATAAAGAAAATAACATTTAAAGTAGATAGTGTATCGTATTGGTTCTCAGTGTGTTTTGTTAGTTCTAATATCCGATAAATAAGTACGCAATGTTTTGTTTACATGGGTAACTGATTGTCAGTAATGCAGTCTAAAAGTTCTGATACTGTGCGTTTACTGATAACGGAGGCGCGGTTACCGTTCCTATGTTAAAGATTCTGTTAATAATAATATTAATGTACCTATAATTGAAAAAGTTTTTTAAATGTTTTTTTACTTATCGTCGTCTTATCCGCTGTTAATAATTCACTGTTGAATATCATGCATCCGTCTATTTTTTAAGTTAAATTTTAAATTTGAGAGAAAGTAACAATAAGGTACATCTATTAGTTGCTTTATAATTTATTTTGTATCTATGCGTAGTATATATATTTTTTTCATGTTTGTAACGTTAAGTAAATATATAAAGGTTTATTATTTTTTCACGGAAATAATTTTCAACGGATTTGAATAAAATTTTGTACACGGACAGGAAATATCCTAAAGTATATAGGGTACTTAGGTTAGAATAAAGTACATAGGCTACTTTAGGTACCTATTCACACGGATGGAGACGTGAGATGTACCTAGTACTTAATATACTAATTTACTTTTTTATTTTTTAGGTAATTATACGATACCAGCTGGTACTAATTGCTTAATACAAATATTTGATCTTCATCGTCGTGAGGATTTATTTAAAAATGCCAATGATTTTATACCTGAAAGATTTTTACCTGAAAACAGTGTTGGCAGACATCCATACTCTTACGTACCTTTCAGTGCTGGACCTAGAAATTGTATAGGTAAGTTCATATATAGATGAAGTAAAAAAAAAATAAAAAAAAAATTACAGATTGTGTCCCACAAACCGACTTTAATTGTGTCAAAACTAGTTATTTTGGTTTTAAAACTAAATTACTGAATCGATTTTGATAAAAATCCTACCAACCGATCTGTAATAATATCCTATTATATAAAAAAGAATTTCCCAAATCGGTTTAGAATTGACAGAGCTATGAGGTAACAAACAAAAAAAATACCAACCGAACTCAGAACTACCTCCTTTTTTAAAGTCCGTTAAAAAGTAAGATAGTCAATTTGTCCATATGATCAATATGGTCATCTTACATTGTACAATATGGTCATCGTAATTTTTTTTTTATTTAAGAGTTATTAAGAGTTTCAGCCAGCCCTATATCAGGCTATTCAGCATGACTTCCCTGTACGACATGACACCTATTGTTCCCATGAAGTTACTTATCGGTCTTTCCCTTCCTCTTTTGCCTTCTATTTTTCCTTCTAATGTAATGTATAAGAATTGTCATGTCGTATAAAGAGTCCAGTATTTCGTCATAGTCGTAGAATACTGACGGATCTGACAAAGATTACATATAAAGATCCGTCAGTATTCTACGACTATGACGATTTTGCCTCTATTATTCTCTATTATTTTTTATTAATGTTCTTTCCTCATTCAGAGCATTGTCTATAGGAGAAATAAATTATGACTTACAGGTCAAAAATTCGCAATGATGGAAATGAAATCAGCAATGTCGGCGGTGATCCGGCGTTACAGACTTGAAGCAATAACCAAACCAGAAGACGTCAGATTCGCGGGCGATCTCATACTGAGATCCATTGACCCCATTTACATGAAGATTATTAAAAGAAATTAATTGTATTTGGCACGTTTTATGGTCAATATTATTTATAAAATTTTTTTTTTATTTTATATTCGTGCGTCGTATTATTTAAATAAAATTATTATTTATTTATTTAATTTTGTGATAACAATGTACAATAACGCACGAATATGTATTTTAGAGGAATAGTGGCCATGATCGGAAAGTTTTAATTTATATAACATAGCAATTTCTGTAATGTAAGGAGTACTTTGTAAGTTAATTATTACAAAATATAACATAATTTTGTGTACCTTATTAAAAATGTCTTTTATTTAATATAAATAACAATAAATCGAGTCTGTTAGTCTAACGTAAAGAATTTAACAAAAAAATATTTTATTTATAACTTTAATACATTTAGAAAATGTTAATGGCGGACTTAGCACCATATGACGGGGGAGAAAGGGATTGTTAGCAATGGAGTTTGATAGCCCCATTGCTAGCAATATACCCTATTAGGTCGGCCTCCCATGGTTCTCCCCGGAAACTATCGTGAACAATTCTTGTTGAATTCGTCACGATGGGCTAACTCACCTGCTTCATCCTCACCTATCATCCTTCACTGGTACCCTGCCGGTGTATACCGATAGCGCGGGTGGGATAGCCATTCTATTGTCTCCCATTAAAAAAAAATCACCATATGGCGTTATCTATGAGTACCAGTCGGCCTTAGACAGGAATAACAGAAAATGTAATTGACGATGCAACGTAATGAACAATATTAAATTAAAACAATAATTCAAAAACAACATTCGTATAATACTCATATTACTTACATTATAGATAATATATTTTACATTATACTCGTAAATACATAAAAATAAATCTCTTTTTTATACAACTTAGAATGGCAAACACGCTGACGGCCCATCTAATGGAAAGTGGTAACCGTCGCCTATAGACATGAGCAGTAATATGTACATAACAGAGTATACTGTTTGCCCATGATACCCCCCATGCGTTGCCATTTCTGAGGATTCAGGTGTTATTCCTCTGTACCTTGTAAATTCACTGCCATATTTATTATTTATTAATGGTGCAATGAGTTATATAATCATAATAATATGGTCACTTTGACAAGCCTCTTTAAAAAAAAAAGTTTATTTTGCCGTATAAAATGCAGATTTTTAGTCTCAAGAGAATTTAATTATCACAGAATTAAAAATGAATTAATTTGACAAGAATGTAAATCCTATTGATTGATAAAAAAATTCTCAGAATCGCTTACGAGTCCGCGACGTAATCGAGTAACAGCGTAAAAAATCAAAGAATCGAGGTACTCATTTTTGTAAACGCTTAAAAAGGGATTCGATAAAATCAATCTAAGAACGTTTTAAAATTAAGCCGAGAAATAGCCTGAAGCGATATTTGAGCTTTTAAGGGCTTTCATTTTAAATTATCTATACTCTGTTTCCAATACGATGTAATAGGTGTAATATCTTAAATTCTGACGCAGTGGCTTGTATTGAAAGACAGCACTATTGTATGCTGTAAACAATGGTACTATTTCTTAGAATAGTATAGATCAAGGTGACTAACTTGACATTTTTTCAATTTTCTATTTTTATTAATATTAGCGCCTGTCAAAATTATAGCAGCAAAATTTTCGTGTTTCGCAACATAGTAGGTACGTATCCCATCAGCCGGTAACTGTTCAGTACTGAACATAGGTTTTCCCCATAAGGGGAATTTTGATAGTAGTCGTCACATTTGGCAACCGCAGTTAAGCTTTGGTGATAGTTTAAGACGGACTCTGCTGAATCATAGACTTCAATATTTATCCTAAATCATCTGCTTTACGTAAATAATTCAAGTGTTCAAAGTTAAGAAACTATACTTTTAAATAGCATTCAGACAGTAACAGACGAAACAATAAAAAACTATTTTAAATTTACTTTAGTATGTTGTATGTTTTTATAAATAAATTTCAGGACTACCTATTTTTCTTTTTATGCAACTTAGAATAGCAAACAAGCTGACGGCCCACCCGATGGAAAGTAGTAACCGTCGCCTATATGGTAGACATGAGCAGTACCATGGACATAACAGAGTATACTGTTTCTCCCATGATACCCCTCATACGTTATCGTTCTTGAGGACTAAGTTGTTATGTCTTTGTATTCTGTAAATTCACTGCCATATCCCATTCTTCAAACTGAAATACAGCCATGTAAATACAACTACTTTACGGTAGTAACACGAATGAGACAGATGTACCCAAGTCTACGAGTTTTGTACAAAGTCTCCCTCTGGTATTTACAGAATTGGCGTCCAGTTAGACCTCAATTATTAAATTGGTTTTCTTTTTCACAATTATGTTTTTGAGGTATTATAAAAAAAATCATGTTCACTGGAAAAGCGTGTTAAAATATTAATATAATAGACTTACATGGTTAGAGATATTTGATTGGAAAATAAAGAATCTTTAAACATTATTAATACTTTATGTGACTATACGTGATTACGTGGGATCTATACTCGAAGCCTAAAGTGTCCATATGTGTGTGTATTCGAACTGTAAAGTGTTCCGGGTGGAAGTTTGAAGAATAAAAATGAAAAATCGATGTGTTATATATATATATATATATATATATATATAATAATAATAATAAATAATAAAAATAAAATACTTATAATATATTTCTATAAATAAACGTAAAAAATAATTTATATATAATATACATGTATAAACTTATATAAAGACAAATATATCAATGTATCAGGTACTATGACGGATATGACTTTCTTCTTATACATATAAGATATCATACACTGAATAATCCTGAATAAGGATCTTGAGGAACTACTCGTTTTATTTAATTAATTTTGTGACAAATAAAAAACGTTGTCCTGTTATACAAACATTTTTAATAAGAACTCACTTTTTTCTGTTATTTGTGGTCTCCATGGCAACGCGTGCGTTTCTCAGTTGCCAGTACTATTATCTACATATTTATCCGAATAAGTGAACTAAATAAACCTCTATATATATAGTAGATGAAAACATGTTTGTATGTATACAATGGACATATAACAGTGGGACATTTAACATACACTTAGATATGTATATGTTATTATACATATTATAATATGTATATATTTAAATATGTTATGTATTTTATATATTTATTTATGTAATATATTTAGATGTAATCTGTGCATATGATTATTTGCATATGTTTTATTAGCGTTTTTCTTTTTTTTATTAATTACATTGCTAACGCCAAATAGCTAGGCGTCTTTTATTTTTTCTCCTCTACACAAAGGTTGTCTAGAAGAGATCGCTTTAGCAATACGATCGCCTTTTGTACTTCATAAGTGTAATATATATAATCTTTGAATTATTCTTTAAATGGTACAATATAAAGTATATAAATAAACTAATAAATAAAGTATTGTGTCAGATGAATAACGGTTCCTTTGCACCATTATGGTGCGGAACCCTAACAAGAACCATACACGAGCATGGCTATACTACGTCCACGATAAGAGTTATTATTCTATTTTTATTTATTAAATTCACTATTACATCATATATGAGTCATACAAATAATCAATTAATTCGTTTGTGTGTGAAAATGATAATGAAATTTGTAAATAGTAGATTAGTCTTAATCTGTTACAATTAATTGCATAATTAATGTAATTAAGATAAACCAATAATGAAGTTTATTAATTAGTAGTATTTATCCGCGACTTCATTCACGTGACCGAGATATCTTGATTGCCTGGGTTAAAAAATAGTCGGTATTTTTCTTTATATGAAATACTTCTTTTTTTTGGGTGGAAAGGGATTGTTAGCAATGGAGTTTGGCAGCCCCATTGCTAGCAATATGCCCTATAAGGTCGACCTCCACGTGTTTCCGCCTGGAAACCATCGTGAACAATTCTTGTTGATTTCGTCACGATGGGCTAACTGATCTGCTTCATCCTCACCTATCATCCTTCACTAGTGCCCCGCCGGTGTATACCGATAGCGCGGATGGGGTTACTATTTCATTATCACCCGTAAAAAAAATACTTCTTTTTTTTGTTTACAAATAATAAGTTCTTGAAATGTTTTGTCATTTTTTTTATACCACTGAGGTGGCAAACAAGCATACGGCCCACCTGATGGTAAGTGGTTACTGTAGCCTAATTCTTTCTTTCAAATTGAGAATTTAGCTCAAAAGAGCTTCAATAGTAGTACACATAACTTATAATAAACATAACACAACTTCAATAGCTAAAATACGGGAGGAGAAGGGTCCCTATGGTGGACTGACTGAGAATGCTTTTAGCATTAAGTTCGCCATGTACACATATTTGTACTAATGAATAAATAAATAAAATAAAAAATAAGTTTATATAAATTTTTATTATGAATGGAGCTGTAAAACGCCAAGAGACACAAACCAAACTAAAAATAAAGTATTTAATAATACATTATTGTAAAATAATTTAAATCTTTATTCCAGAAAAAAAAAACGGCTTTTAAATGTGTCAAAACCAGTTATTTAAATTTCAAAAGTCTGCTACTGAATTATATCCTTTTACTGTAAGTATATCCTTTCAGATAAAATAAATCTATGTCGGTTTATAAGTTTTTTTTTTATGCAACTTAGAATGGCGAACGAGCTGACAACCCACCTGATGGAAAGTGGTCTCCATCGTCTTTAGACATAAACAGTACCATGGACATAGCAGAGTATACTGTTTCACCAACCACCACTTGGTTACCACTTTCCATCAGGTGAGCCGTCAGCTTGTTTGCCATTCTAAGTTGTATAAAAAAAAAAAAAACATTTATAAAATTTCAAAAAGAGCTTTCATGACGTTACTCGTATGTTATTACAGTTTAAAGGCGTATACTGACGATAAACATTTATCATCAGTAATCATCATTTCTGTTTTGCTATACATATAGGGCTGCCATCACCTAAATTGTCGATACCAAATAAACACGGCAAAAATCTCGGACATTTGGGCGATTTATGGTTTTACCCCGGACACTTCTGAAAAAATATTTATTGTAACAAAAATAAAAACATTGTTATATAAAAACAGGGTTATTGTGGATGAATTTGTAATTAAGATTTATTTCAATTGATCACCTAACGTTTAAAAAAATTGGATTTCCCAAACAACAAAAGTGGACACTTTTTAGAAACCCCTGCTGGACGGCCCCATCAAACCAGGATAAATCCGGGGAATTCCGGATGGATGGCAGCCCTACATATAACTATATAACATTGTAATACTGTGTTCTGTTTATTGTTTTGGATGATGTATGCAGCTGATATAACCATTATTTCAAATGATTATTATTGGGAATATTGGGATTTTTTTACAAAATTCACATCTCTCTTAAGGAGAGGAGATAGCAAACTAAACCCCGGCAGAAGTACAGTCGACTGAGGTAGAGGGCTCCAGGCTCCCCTATAAATAATATGTTAATAATAATATGTTAAAGTCTATAGTCAAATTGTGAATAAATTAATTAGCTGATGCCCACAGCCATTTTCTACCATCGTACGGCTCGCCATCAACAGAGAATTTATCCTCATGTCCTACAGCCTTAATGGTCGCGTACTGCGCAGTTTCAGAGATGTTTTCTCCCACGAACACTCAGGTTGTGGAATGAGCTTCCTGCTGAGGTTTTCCCAAGAGACTACAGCATGGGGTTCTTCAAAAGGGGGGTAAAGAGGTTTTTTCAGGGTCGGCAACGCATGTGTAATACCTCTGGTATTGCAGGTATTCATAGGCTACGGTAACCACTTACCATCAGGTGGGCCGTATGCTTGTTTGCCACCTCAGTGGTATAAAAACAATTAACATTTTTTGTCTTTAATATTATTTGTATATGTTACGTATTTTTATATATTAGTCTAATTTCGATCACTGGGCGACAGCTAGTTTTAATAATTATTTTCTAATTAAGATATATGCTAATTTCTTAAATTTTATGACTTGATACTAATTTATAATTTGTATTCACAAAATCCAATTTCCATAATCCAACTTTTTTAAAGGAGCAACAGCTGACTTTCTTACCCGTTCTTCTCAGCTAAAGCTACATTTCTAATGTTCAAATTAAAAAAAAAAGCTTAAATCTATGTTTATTTGAATAAAATTTTTTTTTTAATTTTATTCTGTTAGAATATATGAACAACTAATAATTGTCCCAAAAAAATAAATCGACCTTTATTGTAATAAACTAATAATAAATAATTTTATTTTAATCTAAAAATTAAACTACTAAATCGATTGTGATAAAATTTCTATAGGACCAACCTGTAAGTAAATCCTTTCAGATAAAAAAAAGAATTTTTTTACATCGGTTTACAACTGACGGAGTTATGTAGTAACAATTATAAAAGAAATACAGCCTAATTGAGAACTTTCTTCTTTTCAAAGTTGGTTGAGGAGAATAGTTCTTTTTTAACATTATCTAAGGTAGGCATGAACATGCAAGAAACATACCTTTTATGATAACCTTACGGGCATATACAACAACATAATGTTTTCTCACAATATATGTATTGTCATAATAAGATATTTTTTGTTGTCGGGTTCAGTATTCTAAAAAAACTGTTTTCCGTCGGTCTGTTTGTCCAATGAAATTCTTATTCTTCAGAATGAAAAAAAGTACTGAGTTTCAATTTGTATCTTTGAAACCTTTCATTGCAGTATAAGATTTCGTTTTCACACTCTTGAATTGGAAATTATTCGGTATAAATGTTATGGGCTAAGTGATAAATGGGCAATTATAAATAATGCCCGGACATTATGAAAAATGACCAATATGAGATAATAATTTGATAATAAGTATTCAAATAATTAAATTGTCCGGACATTACACGTAATGTTCATCACATATACGTCAGAGTAATAGAAATATGTTTCATTACTATTATTTTTATTTTTGAGGTTAAACCTAAACAAATAAACAATAAAGTAATAACTACTTTTAAAGTTTTTTTTTTAATGGGTGATAATGAAATGGTAATCCCGTCCGCGCTTTTTTTTTAATGGGTCATGACGGAATGGTAACCCCAGTGAAGGATGATAAGTGAGGATGAAGCAGGTCAGTTAGCCCATCGTGACGAATTCAACAAGAATTGTTCACGATGGTTTCCAGGGGGAACCATGTGGAGGTCGACTTAACAGGGCATATTGCTAGCAATGAGGTTGTCAAACTCCATTGCTAACAATCCCTTTCCCTCTTTCCGTCCGCGCTATCAGTATACACTGGCGGGGCACCAGTGGAAGATGATATGTGAGAATGAATACAGGTCAGTTGGCCCATCGTGATGAATTCGACAAAAATTAACCATGATGGTGTCCAGGGGGAACCGCGTGGAGGTCGACCTAAGAGGGTATATTGCTAGCAATAGGGCTATTAGACCTTATTACTAACAATCCCTTTTTCCCCCTACTTTTAAGGTAAGGTTTAGGTTTATTATATAAACCAAACCTAACTTAATAAATCATGATGTCAAATCTTCGCAAACGCTATTAATTTTCTGGTTTTAAGCACCTTTTTTGGTTTTGCAGATTTAACTATTTCAATTATCTCAGTACAGCTTTCGTTGGTGAAAAATTGAGTATTTTGTCCTTTTACGACCATTCATTTCGTTCAGTTTTGGTATATCCATGATTAATTACTTAAACAAACACTAACAAAAGTTTCACTATAGTTTGATATTGAATTACGAAAATAAAATCCTTCTGCGTCCATCTATCGCTTTTAATGCAAAACTAAACAAAAACAGTGAGCATTTGAAGTCCGCGTGCTGCAATTTCGGTCTCTGATTGGTCAACGCGTGTCACGCACTTGTTTCCCTCTCCGCACTTCGTCCAATGTAGCTTCATTATGAAATTGCCCAATGGTCTCATAGCAACATTCATAATGACCAGACAATGTGATAAATAATGAAGTTTAGATTTTAATTAATCACTTGGCCCGATATAGCTAGCCCTTATTAATAATGCCCGGGCGTTTTGTATAATGCCCTTATTAGTCACTTGGTCCATAACATAAATATCAAAATATTAACATGATGGAGTTCCTGGACAGCAACGCCCTCAACAATGTTTGTTGTAGCAACTAAATTAGATACTTCTCTTAAAGTATTTAAAAATATTAAGATTTTTGGACTTGTTATTACGAACCACAAACGACGTTCAATTCAATACAAATTACCCCTAATTTGGAGGAAAAAGCAAAACTGGCCTCTAAAAAATGTGCCTACTAATATTTAAAAGGCTGGTAACGCTCAAGCAATTCCTTTCATATTGCAAGCGTTTACGAACAACGGTAGCCGCTTTCCATCAGATAGACCGTCTGCTTGTTTGTCTCCCTAACAATAAAATGTATAAAAACAAAAATTTCTTTTTTTAAAAAAAATATGGAATTATATTTATGAGTGAGATAAGCCACGTATATTTCTCGTTTGGAAATTAAAAGTAATTCTGAAAAAAAAAAAACAAAATGAAGATGACTACACAATTTTTTATTCTAAATTCAAATTATTTTAAATCTGATTGTCTATGGAACGTGCCGTGCATTTTATTTGTTTTAAATTAAGAATCGTAAGGTTACAAGTCAATATTACTTTGTCACGTTTATTTCTAGCTATTTGTTTTTTATCTTGTTATGTCTATAGAACCCTGTTGTGTTATCGGTTTCAGTATATTTATTAAATTTTCAATACACAATATATTAACGGTAATATTGTATTTCTCAATTAGTATATTATTAGATTTCCAAGCGTCAATATTCTGAATATGTTTTACATATTACTGATAATTGTTTTGTCGTTGGTGCTTTTGCATCTGTATATCAACTACCATGAAGATGCCAGAGTAATTATGAAGGTTCCTGGACTTAAGGACAGATTTTTAATTGGGAATGCATTGGATATATTTGTGCATCCAGGTAATTTTATGTCTATAATATGCAAAGTAAATACAAAGAGGACAGAATTGATTATTTGATATTGAACTCAAAAATTAATTAACCGATTTTAATTATTCTTTCATCAGTTTTTTTTATTAAAACTTATTTTCAATTTAAATGATTGAATGTTTTTTCTATCAAGTAGTAGCTATAGATTAGTTGTAGGAATATTAATAGGTATTATAATAAGTAATTCAGTTATTTTTAACAGACTTCAAAAAAGACGTCCTCAATTTGATTATATTTAAATTTAAATTTTTGCTTTGCTGACACATATTTTAAATACGCTATCAGAACTTAACGCGACATGATTAAATAATAATACAAATAATACCTAGGATGCAGGTGGCTCAGGACCGTTCCTTATGGCTGTCTATGGGGGAGGTCTATGTCCAGCAGTGGACGAATAATGCCTGAAAAAATGATGAGTACCTATCTGATTCTATACCTGATTTTTATTGCTATGGTGGGTACTATTTACCTGCAATCCAATAGTGTATTTCATATAATTGTTATATTTTTTTTATGCTTGTTACTTCATAGCTCCGTCAGTTGTAAAAAATTTGGATTTATTTTCTTATTCTTTTTTTTTTTTTATTTATCTGTAAAGATATACTTACAGATCGGTCACAAAGAAATTTTATTAAAATTCATTCCAGTTGTTTAGTTTTTAAATAAATATAACTGGCTTTGATACAATTGAAGATTTTTTTTTTGTAGAATACATTATTATGTTATGTTACTATCACATATAAGATGAAAAAAAAACCTGTAGAAGTAGTAAAAGTTGTATCATTTATATAGATAGATCATTACTTTGTTTTTCATTAAATCATTCGTATCAAATTTTGAATGAAATGTTAAAATAAAAAGTAATCAAAAGCGCCGCCCCATACGAGGACGACGTCAAGATGACTTCTAAATTTTTTTTTCCAGATAAGCTATTTGATTTAAGAACTTCATTTGCAAAACAATTCAAGGGAATTTATAGATTTTATTCATATCCTTTTAAAACTATAAACATTTATAATCCGGAAGATGTAGAGGTAAGAATTGTTACAGCATGCTTTTGTTTATTATAGCATGACACAAAATCGTAGGGGGAAAGGGATTATTAGTAATGAGATCTAACTACCTCTTTGTTAGCAATATACCCTATCAGGTCGACCTCTACGTGGTTTTCTCTGAAAATTATCGTGGTTAATACCGAATTTGTCATAATGGGCCACCTAACCTTCTCGTTTGTTAGTAATGGAGACTGAAAATCCCATTGCTAGCAACATACCCTATCAGGTTGACTTCCTCGCGGTTCTCCCTAGAAACTATCATGGTTAATTCCTGATGAATTCATCATGATGGGCTAACTGGCCTGTTTTCATTTTCATCTATCACCCTTCACTGGTGCTCCGCCAGCGTATCCCGTTAGCGCGGGCGGGATTACCATTCCATTTTCACCTATCAAAAAAAAACCTTCTCTATCTTCATCTATCATCCCTCACTGCAGCCCCGCCAGTATTTACTGATAGTGTAGGCGGGGTCATTATTTCATTTTTATAAAATAAAAAAAATCACGAAATCGTGTCATTTTATCGTCACGATATAATAGGAGAGCAAAATATATGCAAGTGAGCGCTTTTATATTTTATCATAGCATGGCATGTTGTTATACTATTTTACCGTCGTGACATAATAGGAGAGCAATATATATGCAAATGGATTCTTTTATAATTTATCGTAACGTAATATGACAGTGTATTACGTGGTAACGTAATACACTGTCATATTACGTTCTCATGGTAATGAGAACGATACAAAACGAGAACAAAATGCATGAAGTTATATGAAAACGTTTAATATTTTTCACGACTGTATTATATACTTGTAATTTACTAATATTATAATTTAGCGATTCGACTCATCTTCGCACGAGTAGGCAGAATTTTCAAAAATCGATACATATAATAAAAAAAAAGTTTTATTCCAGTTTAATTGATCGGTTATTTTATAGCATTTCATATGTGATCATTTAGATTGATATAACTTTTTTATTTATTTATTTATATACATATTTTTGGTGAGTTTTACAATTTTTACCAATGTACTCACAACAGATTAAAAAATCAAACATTATAATAATACAATATTGAAATAATAATAATAATAAAAATCTAATTATTTTATATAAAATAATTATTAAAATTTATGAATCTATTGAAATGAAACAAACACTAAATGTTAAGTGGAGTTAAGCAAAATGCATTACTGAGAACCGCGTTCAAATCAACAAAGCCGTTTCGAGTAAGTTTGATCAAAAATAATATACCACGAGATTTTTACATATAAGATATATCTATAGCATAGTGATAATGATACATCATAGTAGAAGAATAAATGCGCATATAGTATATGCATAATATTGACTTAGCAATAAGTGGAATTTTGCATAGCTTTAAAGGTATAAGCGTAAACTCTATCGATTACAAATTGGTTCAATAGAAAAGAAGTAGAACAAGAGAAGAATTAGGAGCAGGATTCGCCGATATATATCAGCGGATATATGACGATATATGTATATCAATTGATTTTTATCTTGATAAATAACAATTGATTTTTTCCTGTTTTCTGAACTAAACATTTTGGAGATTAATATTTACTCTGGCAACACGCAGCGAAAAACTACAATTCAGAATAATTTAGATTGTTTCCCAAAATGGCAACCTCATAAAAATAATAATATTATTATAATAATAGGTACTTGTTTTTTTTTTTATTGTTCATTAAAAAAATATTTCTCAAATAAACACTAAGTAATTCTTTTGTTACTTGTTAAAAGTTTTTTAAATAATAAATGTAGTAATAATTTGACACTTATTTCATTTTACAAATTCCTTTCACATTTTTAAGCGTATAATCCCCTTACAGAATGAAATTGATATATATATATATATAAATCGGATTTTATCGAACTCTGATTAGGAGTCACTCAAAAATAAATTTTGTAATAATACAAACTACTTTATTTTCAGATCATATTGTCCAGTATGAAATTTTCTGAGAAATCTTATTTGTATTTGTTCATGAAGCCGTGGTTGGCAGACGGACTACTTCTTAGCAGCGGTATGTATGAATTTTCATATCGGTCAGGCGTGAGTTGAATTCAGGAAATCGAAAGTTACGTACTCAAGAATCGTAGCTTTCTGAATTAGCTCGCGGCTGGGCGTTTTGGATCGTGCCTCTAGATGACCAATGCTTGGTTCTTCATAGCATGACCACAGATATTCCAATTTTCAATTATCTTCCTCATTATACGTGAAGAATGTTTTTTTTTTATACAATTTAGAATGGCACACAAGCTGACGGCCCACCTGATGGAAAGTGGTAACCGTCGTCTATAGACATGAGCAGTACCATGGACATAACAGAGTATACTGTTTCGCCCATGATACCCCCCATGCGTTGCCATTCCTGAGGACTCAGGTGTTATTCCTCTGTACCCTGTAAATTCACGCCATATCCGACCCTTCAGACCGAAACACAGTCATGCAAACACAACTGCTTCACGGTTGAAACACGAATAGAACAGAGGTACCCAAGCAATCGACTTTTGTACAGTCTCTCTCTGGTAAATGGTAAATGTGAATCAACAAAATTCATTTGATTATATTTATTTTGGCCAGAGGAAATTTGTGAAAAATTCAAGTTTCTGCATGTTCTATTCGTATTTCCTATTTAAGAGTGGGACATGACAGTGAAATTATTAGATACGAAGTCATTAAACCTATTAAGGAGGTAACTCCTCGTGCGTTGCTATTCCTGGGTTAATATTCAGGAATGGCAACGCACGAACCAACCCACGAGTATCTATATCTGGGGGCTACCATGAAATGAAATTCCGAATTTTTGGACTCAATTTCGTGTTTTTGTTCATACCGAAATCGACCCAGTAAATGGAGCTTAACGTTTCGTTTGTCGTAAATCCTACCATAAAAGTACAAAGGAACGATACTTTAGCATTTTTTATGTTTTTAAACGGTAAGTATTATGTAATTTTCACATCAAATTTGTGTTTCGTTCGAACCCGAAATTTCGGAAAACATTTCATGGTAGGCCTTCTGTTAATGTAATGACTGCCGGTTTAACTTACGTGTAATTAGATTGAAAAAGCTCGACTTAGTTTCAGAAGCAATTCGTGATCCTTCATGATTGACTGCGACGCGATCACGAGCCTGACTGCTCATATCTATTGTAGACATCGAATCCCTATACATCTGAAATGATGGTAGTGCACATAAAATCGTCGGTTTACTTATATTTCTAGATTATATAAACAAATAAATAATAATAATATATAAATACTTTTTGATTTGCAAAACACAAAGAACAGCAAACATAACCTTTACGGAACATACCTGCTTTATAAATGACAAAATGTTTCATCATGCTTTAGATTGAAAATAGTTTAAACTAGCTATATCTCGCGGCTTTGTTTATGGATGTACCGTGTTATTAAATGATCTATAACCCTCTAATCTAACCTATGAATAATTATAACCATCTAATCTTATGATATTTTTAACACTAGAACCTCTTGGAAATATTATTAGATCCTTAAGCATTTAGGTTTAAGTAAGATAAAGAAACTCACATAATAAGATAGACTTGTAATAAGATAGGGCCTATCTTATTACAAAGCGTAGACTAAAGATAATATAAAAGTTAGCACTGAGATAAACCATGTACTATCACTAAACCATGGACCATCTATTAGTCTAAGACTAGGTACAGTTCGGGTATTAATAAGTTTTTTTTTTTTGTAATAAAACTGTAAAACGTTACAATCCTTTTTGAGCAGACGTATAAAAAAAATAACAATGTCTTCAAACTATCAAAAAAGATGACCAATTTTTTTGAACACTCGAGCTCTTGGTGACACAGTATTTGTATCTTCCAATTTTTTCCATACAATATATCGCAGTAGGCACAGTTAGATAATATTGTTATACATTTATAACCATTAATTTTCATCAGTTCATTGACCATAAGATCAACGAACTAATTGGATAGAATTAGACTATTTGTCTGTGGGATTGTTTATCAATACGAGCAAATTTAGTCGACTAGTCCTCAAACTGAAATTTTCATTGTCTCATCATCATCATCATCATCATATCAGCCTTTAAATGTCCACTACTGAACATAAGCTTACCCCTTGGTGGAGGGGGGAGGTTGCCCGTAGCTGTCACACTTGGCAGGCGGATTCGCAACCGCAGTTAGGCTTTGAAGATGTTTTGAGGAACGCTGCTGTCCATCCCTCACCCTCTCTTAGTCGCCTTTTACGACACCCACGGTTTAGGAAGGGGTGACCTATTCTATGCCGGGACCACATGGCGATTATCTTCCTTTTTTGTTGATTATTATCGGTTCATTATCTGATGACTTCATATAATCCTGACTAATATTATAAATGTGAAAGTAAGTTTTTCAGTATGCACGTATTATATGGAACAGAAAAGAATATATGCTACATTTTATCCCGTTTAGCAAACATAACCCAGTTTCACAAATGAAGTCGCCGATAAAAGCTAGTACTGTCGTACACACACACACACACACACACACACACACACACACACACACACACACACACACACACACACACACACACACACACACACACACACACACACACACACACACACACACACACACGCATTCACACTCACACTCACACACACACAAACACACACCCACACACACTCATATATATAGTCCATTCAAAGGCTGACTGGAAGAAATCCCTTTTATGGGGTAAGTCCGTCACTGTCCTTATCCTTAGAACTCTATATCCTATAATTTAAGACTTTACTGTACAATAAAATATTACAAACAAACATAATGTATTGTAAACAATCTAATAATACCTCGAGTAGATATAATTGTGTACCCTAAGATCAGAGTTTATCTATTAAAGTTCCTTGATAGAGTCAATCAACTAAAAATTGAATCGTATTTATATCACGAAGATAATAACCAGAAGATATTAATAAAATAATAAAAGGAAATATATGTGTGAAAAAATTGCGTGTGGTCCTGGTATTATCGTAAGAGGTGATTAAGGAAATTTAATAGTTAAGATATGGGCAGCAGGGTCTTAAAACATCACCAAAGTCTAACTGCAGTTGCCAACTCGCCTAACGTGACAACTATTGGCAAAATCCCCTTTATAGGATAGGCCTATGTTCAGCAGTGGATGTAGTATGGTATTCGATTGTGAGACTTACGACACGATTGACAAGTTTGTTTTACGCTACATAAAAATCACGGATATTTTGCACAGACACAATACGGCATATGTATAAAATAAAGCACCTTATATTCCTTCTAAATTAAATAATTATGGAGACCATAAGGTACCAAAAATTGTTCAGGATCCGATGATTCAATCTGCTTCAGGTGCTAAATGGCAAAAGCGTAGAAAAATCCTGACGCCAGCTTTCCATTTTGATATTCTGCGTCAATTTCATGTCATTATGGAGGAGAATAGTAAAAGATTGACGGAAACTCTGGAGCAGTCTGCAGGAGACACTGTTAATATCACACCTGTTATTACTGAGTACACATTGAACACTATTTGTGGTAAGAATTTTAACTTTTATATATATAGTAGAAGACAACTTTAGGCAGGTTATTTAAGGTGAAGTTGTCAGGATTTTGGAGCATAATACCACAATTCTCGAGAATGACAACATATTAAGTAATCCCATTGGTCTCACAATATATTTCTTAATGCTCTTGATGCTGTTCATTTCTACTGGTGACTGTTGCTTTTCATCTTTCCATTTATGTAAGCCGTCAACTTGTTCCATGTTCCATAAAATATACCCCAGACATTTGTACTCGTATTAAACAAACAAGCATAGGCAAACAAAGTCTGGGACATCTTGTTAGACTGCGTAATACAGTTTCACTGCATGATAGAATTCGGAACGCATATCCGTAGAACTAAATAATCATTCCGGATACATTGAAATACATGCGCTGCTATATTTTGGTCAGAAAGGTATGACAGTCATTGGACGATTAAAATATTAACGCATATATAGAAATTTATTTGCAGATGACTGTTAACATATTTTATTGAGTATTAACTCATTTCCAGTAGTATAAAAAACCACGTATCTATTGTGCATATTGTCAGAATATATGTGTATCATAATTTAATTAGAGGTGAAGAGACTCGTTGAAAATCATAGTAAGTGGCAAGAGCTCCACCGACAAGAGCGCAGCTCTTAAATAGGATAGATAGAATTTAATTAATAATTATATTTTCTTTCATTTAGAAACCGCAATGGGCACAAAACTCTCAGATGAAACCTCAGCTGCAGGAAAGTCTTATAAAAATGCATTACTTACTCTTGGAGCTCTACTGGCCGAACGATTCATTAAAGTGTATCTATTTCTCGAGTTCATCTTCAACTTATCGTCTTTGAAGCAGAAACAACAGAAGTACATAGACATAATACAAAAATTCACAGCAGACGTAATTAAAAATCGGAAGGCGTACTTGGAGCAAAATGGATTGATTAATTCAACGGAATCCAACGACGATGGTGTTTATAAGAAAAAAAAGAAAGCTGCTTTTCTAGATCTCTTACTTGCCGCTGAAAATGAAGGAAAAATTGACAGAAGCGGAATACAAGAAGAGGTTGATACGTTCATGTTTGAGGTATTTTGATTTTAAATTTACATCGATACTAGACGGGATATAGGTAAAAAGTATGGCTTGTTAATTTGTTTTTAAGAACTTTCTGTTGCTGATTTTGAATTAATTTTGATAATTCCTTTTTTATACACCTATTTGTCAGTTTTGTTATTATTATTATTTAGTTAAAGAAGGTTTATATAACAATGATATTTTTTAAAGAAAATCTGTATAGACAATTATTTGGATCAAATAAATCCAATACAATATGTCAGTTTTATAAAACAAATTTGTTTACTCTCTTCTATTATTTATGAAATTGTCTAATTGTACGACTGTGATCATATTACCTAATACTTATTAAAATAATGCAAAATAAAGCGATATGGTTGAAAATAAATATGCTATTATAATAATTAATAAATTTCATTAAACATGTTACAAGTCATTATGAGTCTCAAACAATTATAGTATGAGCATTAGATAATTGATAAATATCTTTAAAAATATTTGTTGGCCACCTATACCAAAGTACAAATGTTTGTTATATTCGAGCGAGACCATCCCAAGGTAATGCAGTTTGATAAACTGTTACACTATCAGGGTTGTCACTAAAAATAATGTTGTACATCTTTTAGGGTCACGACACAACAGCATCTGGCATTTCATTTTTATTCCTGATGCTTGCAAATCATCCAAATGAACAGGTAACTATCTGGTTAAATGTTATTTAAAAAAAAATAACTTTTGTAAAAAAAAGTGACTGTATTCATTCATATTTCCAGGAAAAAGTTTATCAAGAAATGAAGAGTATATTTGGTGATTCCACTAGAACAGCTACTACTGATGATTTAGCTCAAATGAAGTACTTGGAACTTTGTATAAAAGAGACTTTAAGGCTTTATCCTCCAGTCCATTTTGTGGCAAGAGTTTTGAATGAAAAAGTAACATTAAGTAAGTATAAAAATTAATTTTCTGACACAGTGACAGTAGATATCTTAATACCTTAATTCTCCAGGGTGGCAACACATCATCATATGGTATAGATATATACTGTAAATTTCTATTATATTCGTAACAAGCTGACAGCCCACTTGATGGAAAGTGGTAACCGTCGCCAATAAACATGAGCAGTACCATGGATATAACAGAGTATACTGTTTCACCCATGATACCCCTCATGCGTTGCCATTCCTGAGAACTCAGGTGTTATTCCACTGAACCCTGTAAATTCACGCCATATCCCACCCTTCAAACCGAAACACAGCCATGCAAACACCACTACTTTACGGTTGAAACATTATTGGCGCAGAGGTACCCAAGCAAACGACTTTTGTACAAAGTCTACGTCTAGTAATTTATATTTTTATTTATGTCTACAGATAAAGACAAACTTTTCAAATCAAATTTTTATTTAATTTTGTGCACAAAGAAGAAACTTAGCAAAACACTTTTACTGTTACTTGTATTATCATTTATATTAAAAGCTACTTCCTTAGTTTTAGTATATTACTATTCTAAATACTAGTTGAATGAATGAATGAATGAGTATACTTTATTTGCATTATACAATATAGGAAATAAAGAAGGCAATTAATAAATGTAACGATACAATTGTATAAGTACAGTAAGGTGGGCCTATTGCTGAGAGCAATCTTTTCAAGACAACCTTAGGGTAATGGACTAATTGTTGTACAAGTAGGTATTGTATAATTAAGAAAATTAATAGAATAAAATATTAAGGAAAATAATTATAAGTATTAAATGTATATAAGGATTTTTGTATTTATTTTATCTTTCTTTGTAGGTAATTACACGATTCCAGCCGGTACAGAGTGTCTCATTCACATATTCGATCTGCATCGTCGCGAAGATTTGTACAAAAACGCTTTAGCTTTCGAGCCTGAACGATTTTTACCTGAAAACAGTGTTGGTAGACATCCATACGCTTACGTACCTTTTAGTGCTGGACCTAGAAATTGTATAGGTAAGCTTAATATGTTTATATGTTCAAATGTCGATTGCACATTATTTTTATTATTACACATACAGACAACAGTGATGTTTTAACTTTAATTTTTTTAAATTGTTGCTTTTGAAATATCATCATCATCATCATCATAATCATAGCCGTTCTTTGTCCACTGCCGAACATAGGCATTTTCCATAAATTTAGGGTTTTGGTATTAATAATCAGGTTTAGTAGGCGGATTGACAACCGCAGTTAGGCGTTGGTGGTTGGTGATGTTTTGAGAGGGTCGCTGCTACCAGTTCCTCGACCATTAAGTTTTCTTAGTCACCTCTTTCTTTCCCACCTTTTTTGGGTGTCTACCCATGGGAAATGAATGGGTGTGGTCTATTCTATGCTGGGACCATACTTCATTTTTTTGCATTGTATCAATTATATATTTTTCAATTTTTAAATCAATAGCATTTGATTAGATAAAGCGTTGTGATAGACTGATGAATGGACTATAAGAGTTTCTTTGTATCATTTTGATATGTAATCTTAAAAAAATGGAAGTCGAATGACCATCATTAGATATAAATCAAGTTGAAGTAGAAATGAGACGGTCATATAGCTTAATAATGATATGGAAATAAATTTTTTCGAGTGACAACCGCACTCACAGTGTAGGTACAACAATCCCAATTGTATATATGTACTTTATTTATTTAACTCTTTATTGCACCATAAATAAAAATATACAATGACAAGTGAATAATACAAATGAAATACAGTAACATAAATACAGATTGAAATATACACATAAAGGTACAAAAGGCGGTCTTATCGCTAGGGCAATCTCTTACAGACAACCATTGGTTAAAGGAGAACAGATAGAAGTGGGTAGGTGGCGCAAGAGTACTATACTTTTATAGTAGTCTCTGTGGCATTTTTATCCTTAACAATGAATAATGAATGTCTGATATGACCATGAATGGGTAAGTTACACACTTGCAAGCATGCAGATGCAAGTTAGCTAAAAGTGCTTTTTAGAGTTCTGTATCAAAAAGGTACACATGACCCCTATAATGCGATTTTTATGCTGTATCGTTTTTGACTCATAATTGAAAAAGTGAGAAAATAGACAGGTCAAGTGAGTTGAACTCACTCGTCGAGGGTTCTGTACATAAAATGTCTCAAAAAGGATTCTAGTTTACGTTAGATAAAAAGAAACATTTGAATATAATAACATATTCAAATATTTTGTAATAAATAAATAGGTCATTTTATATCACATATTGTAGATAATAATATATGATATATGACCTCTATTTAATGATACATTTATGTTTGTCTTTGAATATATTTTTAAGGCTACAACTAATTAATAGATAGGGTTGTTAAAATTCAAAAGCGATATAAGTCTTACAGGAAAATGTGATTATACCAGCACTTCTAGACGTCTTTTCGTAATTTCCTAAGTAATTTCTAGTGTAATTTCTTCTAGACGCTCAATCAAGCAGAATCTTAGAGATTTTTGAAAGATTTTTGTATGTTATGGTTATTGTACTCGTAATATTGCCTGATGTTCGTCTTGTAGTTAATAATTGGTTACCTTTCCCTTGAGGTGTCGGAGTATTTTTGAAGCAATGGTGAGTGAGTTCAAATAAATTTTTATCTAAAAAAACGAGAAAAATTTAGTGACAAATTTATGTACAGAACCCTTATATATATATATATATATATATATATATATATATATATATATATATTGAAATATATATATATATATATATATCAATATATAAAATATATAAAGGACTGCAGGTTCTTTTGGTTTTCCTTTCGTCCTTAACATATGAAATTGAAAAACAGAGGTAGTTGTCACTAGTTTCTTTCTACCCATTTCGAAATATAAAGTTAGTGAGACATTTTGATTTTCAGGCAAAAAATTCGCAATGATGGAAATGAAATCAGCAATGTCGGCGGTGATCCGGCGTTACAGACTTGAAGCAATAACCAAACCAGAAGACGTCAGATTCGCGGGTGATCTTATACTGAGATCTATTAATCCCATTTATGTCAAGACCGTTAAAAGAAATATATAATAAATCACGATGAATAATAAGAAGAATAAAGATTAATGTATAAATGATTAACTAAAAATGTTTTAAATTAATTAAAAAAGGAATCAAATTATTATATATTTTTAGTGATCGTAGCACACTATTATTATCCGTTCATCCCGTTCGTTTCTACTTTTTACATCTGGGTTTTTCTCTTTTATCTGCAGTTTTTCTCTTACAATACAATATGGGGCCTTTCAAAAACCGTGCATACAAAAATTTAAAACGCCGGCAACGTATAAACAACTCGCCTTGTAATAACAAGTATTCAAGGGCGATGGTAGCTGCTTCCTCGCTCATTTGACTCTCTAACAATAAAAAAATGAATAACGATCGCCCCTTTTATTTATTAATGTGTTTCAGAATTTCTTCATTAATTGTGTGCTATAATTGTATGCAAAGTTTTGTAATTATATTTTGTTTTGTTGTATATTTTGTAATTATATGTAATTACAACATATGGTATAGTAGGTATTATAATATATTAATTAATTATATTGTAATTATGTATTTATAACGCACATAAACATAGGTCACTGATCTTTGTTGGTATGTTTTTTATATTATAATTACAATTAATATATTTCTCATGTATGCAAATTACACTAGTATTTGTTAATTATTTTTATTGTAATATTTTGTGTATACATAATAAATATATTATTCAGAACCAATTCTATTTATTACAGTTTACCATGTGAAGGTAAAAATTTAATAGAAAGAGTATAAATATAGAGCAGAAATATACTCACTTGCATCCAATGCTTAATCCAAACTCAATGCTTCTGGTGTTGCGGGTGATCATGGGCGGCAATAGTCACTTACAATCAGATGAGTCTTATGCTTGTTATACCTGGTGTTATAAAAAAAAATTATAGAATGTTCGACCAATAAAATATTTTCTCTACAGAGACGTTGTTGGAAAAACGACAAAAAGGTTTTGAGCCTTCCATACTAATCTTACAGCTAGAAGTACCGTTGGCGAGGTATTCAGATTAAACAATTATGGGGAACATGAAATGGTAACCTTGCCCACGCTATCGATATATGTACCAGTGAGGGGTGATAGGTGAGGGTGAACGCAGGTCAATTAGCTCATCATTACGAATTTAATAAGGATTAACGAAGATAGTCTCCAGGAGGAACCACGTGGAGATCAATTTGATAGGATATATTGCAGGATTCAGATACCCATTACTAATAATCCCTTCTCCACTGGCGCAGTACTAGTGTGGATGATAGGTGAGAACGAGATAATGTCAGTTGGTCCAGCTTCATAATTTTCTTAGAAACTAACTACGATGGATTCTAGGGTAGGTCCCCTGAAGTTACTGTGTTAATTACAGTAATCCATTCCTTAAAAATAGTGTTAGCATTCATTAATATTATTTTTTTCATTTAAGAGTTTCCTTTTATGGGTGCAACAAATTCATGCATTTTCTTCCAGCCAGCTTTATCCCATGCTATATCTTTGACCTCTCTACATGACATGACACCTAGTGTTTCCTTTATCTGTCCCATGTAGTCATTGCTCGGTTTTCCACTTCCTCTTTTGTTCTCTATTTTTCCTTATACTATGCTCTTTAAAAAATCGTCGTGTCGTATAAGGTGACCCAGCCCATTCATTAATAGGGTTTCAACAAAATATTATTCTTTTTCTAGAAATATTTTTGATTATAAAAAGAAGCAAAATTCAGATTCCGAAAACCAATAGACTACTTTTAGATGGTGTTTCAATATAAAATTAACATCAGATTTTATGTTAGACCTTTATGAATAAAACTGCGAAAGCCGCATACAATTTGGTGTAGTAGTTTTTAAGTGATTCCGGAACTAACATATAGATAGACAGATCGACAACATTTTTTAATATTATTGTTTTGTTGGTTATTTCATTCGGATTGTTTTGTTCATTTTCGCAACCATTAGTATGTGTGTGATTATACTCGAAAGCTGACTTCCATTATCACGACCAGAAGTCCACTATTTCCATATTAGCCATCAATTTTCGACTGTTATTTTGCTCACGCACGTTTTGCGACACGTGCTTCACCTTTTAACGAGACGTCTTCAGACAAATTAATTAGTTTAATACGTTTGTTCAAAATAATTCTAATCAAATAACTAGTGATATCGCCGTCTGCAAGATAACACATAGTTCAGTGAAACAAGTTATTGTTTTGGCCTTATTAAGACCTGTTATATTGTTTTTTTCTTATTTATCTCTCATGCACAGACATCATCCAGTTATAATTTTATTATATTATTAAGATAAGATAATTAGTTTGTGGAGACATTACATGATGTAAGGTTAGAAGTTACTGTAAAGTCGCTATTGTGAGATAGTTTTCATTAAATTTGCCATTACAAGAGTTTGTAGCGAATATAAATATAAATTTATAGCGATTAAAATTAACAGTTGCACAGTTGCATAGTTACATGTTTTTTGCTCTAGCTTACAAATTAGGGTAACCTGTGCATTGTAAGCCAGTTCCTTCCAACACACAAATACAAAGTATTAGATTAAAATTAACGATAAAGATTTTTTTTTATACAACTTAGAATGCCAAACAAGCTGACGGCCCACCTGATGGAAAGTGGTAACCGTCGCCTATAGACATGAGCAGTACCATGGACATAACAGAGTACCATATATTGTTTCGCCCATGATACCCCCATGCATTGCCTTTCCTGAGAACTCAGGTGTTATTCCTTTGTACCTTGTAAATTCATGCCATATCCCACCCTTTAAACTGAAACACAGCCATGCAAACACAACTGCTTTATGGTTGAAACACGAATGGTACAGAGGTACCCAAGCAATTGACTTTTGTACAAAGTCTCCCTCTGGTGAGATATCATTCCAGTAGGGGATATAGTTCCTGGAACTCTTGAAATTAGAAACTGTACATCTATAATAGTGATAATCGAGAACATCTAATGTAACGAAAAGCAAAGACGACTTGTAGAATTCCAATTATTCTGCTCCTTTAGATTTTGTTCAACTGGCTGAGCACCTGCCATTGGGTGGCGTCTTACAGTGACCAACTTGAAAAACCAAATTGCAGTGACCGAGTTAAATAGACTGCGAACCCAGGGTAGCTAGGGGCAAAGGGATTTTTAGGAATGAAGAAGAATAGAAGAATAGAAAATCATTTATTCAAATAAACTTACATTGAAGCACTTTTGAATAGTCATTACATTTTTTTTAATCTACCGCTCGTTCGGAAAGCTGTCTCATCACAAGAAGAACGAGCAAGAAACTTGCGTGTTGCTCTTTTAAATAATTTTATTATTACTTTAATTTTAAGTTTAACATTTTTAAGTTTAAGTGTGTGAATACAAACCACCAATTAGCACTAATTCAATTAAATACTCAAAAAGAAAAAAATATTGAATACATAACCAACTGGTTAAACAATTAATAAGAGGAAATCAGTCATAGTGATTAGAGCAGACCAGTCCCTACAAGCAGCACCCGTTCACGAGTATGACGGATGAGCCAGCCATCACTGCGCTCGACCATATTTTAGGGAGCCCAATGACCCGGCCCACCACGCCGCCACAAGTCTGGACATTTTAGTGAGCATGACTACTCAAAACACTAGACCACGTCAAAGCTACTCACAATTGCCATCTGATAGTTATAGTATTCACATTTTACATAAGAATGCATGCGGCAATTAATACAAAAACCGCTACGCTTTCATATTTCTAAAATCAATCAATTAAATCAAGAAAGCAATGAGAAAATAAAATCATAACGTTGTATGCTAATAAACTAATTATTTACTTGATATGTTGTCATCTATGAATTCGTCTATCCTGTAATAGGCTTTCTTACATAAAAATTGTTTAATATAAGATTTGAATTGCCTCTCTGTCAGATTTAATGCAGATTCTGGCAGTTTATTATAAAATCTTATGCAATTACCATAGAATGAATTACTGATTTTGTGCAGACGGCATTTAGGTAAAATAAGCTTATTTATATTGCGTAAGTTTCTACTTGTACAGTCTTTGAGTTTTTTAAAACTCTAAGTTCTTTCGTGTATACATAATATTTTCATAAATGTATTGTGAAGTAACTGTGAGGATATTTGAGTCTTTAAAGCACTGACGTAATGACTCTCTTGAACCCATACCATAAATAGAACGTATGGCTCTCTTTTGTAAAACAAATATAGTATTTATATCGGCTGCTTTACCCCACAGCAGTATGCCATAAGACATTATGCTATGGAAATAACTAAAATATACAAGTTTAGCCGTCGCCACGTCTGTTAATTGCCTAATTCTTCTAATTGCATATGCAGCAGAACTGAGTCTACTGGCCAATTTTGAAATATGGGGCCCCCATTGTAATTTCGAGTCCACTGTTATACCTAAAAAAACTGTATCATTAACAAAATTTACTATTTCGTCATTAAGCAATAACTGTGTATTTATTAGTCTTACATTAGGAAGTGTAAATTTTATACACTTTGTTTTGCTGGAATTTAATAATAGGTTATTACATGTAAACCAATTTAATATTGCAGACATAGCACAATTTACATCGTCTAATTGATTACTTTGACGTCCAATTTTAAACACTAACGAAGTATCATCCGCAAACAGCACTATATCTGCAATTTTCTCTACCATAAAGGGAAGGTCATTTATGTAGATTAAAAAGAGAAAGGGGCCTAAGATTGACCCTTGTGGAACGCCCATCTTAATATTAGCTCCCTTAGATTTTACACCGTCAATATCTACAGTTTGAACCCTATCCTCTAAATAAGTTCTCATTAATTTTAGATCATTATCTCTTATACCATAATGTTCGAGCTTGTACAAAAGCGTTTTATGATCCACACAATCAAATACCTTTGATAGGTCACAAAAAACTCCGAGTGCATCCTGTGACCTCTCCCAAGATTCGAAAATATGTGTCATTAGCGCAATACCTGCGTCAGTGGTAGACTTGCCGGCGGTGAAACCATATTGCTGACTGTGAAGCAGTCCGTTAACCCTGAAGTGTTGTAACATTTGATTTAACATTATCTTTTCAAACACCTTACTTAGAACTGGCAAAATAGATATAGGTCTATAGTTCCCTGGCTCAAATTTATCTCCTGATTTAAATAATGGGATTAATTTGCTAAATTTCATTAAATGTGGAAAAACGCCATTATCAATACATTTATTAAAAATAGTGGCTAGATATGGAGCAACAATATCTATGAAAGAACTAACTACTTTTACAGACATGCCCCAAAGGTCTTCCGTATTTTTTAAATTTAGCTGTTTGAATATTTTTATGATATGAAAGGGGCTAACATGTGAAAATTTAAATCTTAAAGAACAACAACCGATATTAGTCTCTAGTAATTTTTTTGCTCGAGATTGAGACGAGTCCAGAGAAGATGTAATATCAATCGGAATATTAGCAAAAAAATCTTCAAAAATATTAACTACATCTTTTGTTGTTGTTATTAATTTATTATCATAATTTAATGTAAATTGATTACAGGCTATTTTAGATCTTCCAGTTTCTTTATTTATAATGCTCCAGATGGTTTTAATTTTGTCAGAAGACTGCTTAATTTGTTTATTAAAATAATTAGACTTAGCCATAATACAAACTTTTTTAAAAATTTTAGAATAATTTTTCACATAAGTGGTGAATTTGTCATCAAATCGATAGTTTTTTTGATCGTATAAATCAAACAAAATATTTCTACTTTTAAGTATTCCTACTGTTGCCCATTCCGTGAATTTAGATTTAACATGAACTTCTTTTTTCTTGAAAAATTGTTCATATTCTCCGGATAAAATATTAATTAGCTTGGTGTAAAGATAATCAGGATTATTACTAGATTGTAACAGCAAATCCAATTTATTTTTAATCGCGCTTTTGTATTTATTAATATTGTAAACATGAAAATGAGATTTAACAGGCCCATTGCTAGCAATACACCCTCTCAGGTCGACCTCCACGCGATTCCCCCTGAAAACCATAGTGGTTAATTCTTGTTACCAATTGAGCTATGGGCCTACTGACCTGTCTTCATCCTCACCTGTCACCCTTCACTGGTGCTCCGCCAGCGTATACCGATTGCGCATGCGGGGTTACCATTCTATCTTCATTTATTAAAAAAAAACCAGGTTGACCGCTGCATGTATAAGCTGGTGAAATGTAGTTTTATATCCCAAGAGGCCTGCAACTGTAGAGCGCAATCGTAGACTATGTCTCACTTTCTTATCTGTCCTTTATGTCCCTAACCTTGCATTGTGTCTGACCTCTCGTTCTGTCCTTTATCTTGCACAAATGAGAACTTAAATAAACCAATAAACAGTGTTATGCAAATTGCTAAGTTCTGGTCAAGTATATTTAAATAAATAAATAATTAGTGCAAGGTGGAAAATGAAAAAAAAAAACAAATAAAACAAGTCGAGACATAACTGAAGGGAATACGACAATAAAAATATAAAAATAATATTATTTACATGTTATGGTTAGAAGTCATAAACTCTCATGGCGACATGCATCTGTGGTACGCGATGACAGTTTTTAACCGACTTCAAGAAGAGGAAGGTACTCAATTTGGTTGCATTTTTCTTTACTGTTTGTTATCGCATTACTCTGTATCTAAAAGGTTTTATCTTAAAGATTTTTCAAGAATCAAAAATCAAAAGATTTTTATATTTTTTTCTTTTTTTTTTAATATGAGTGGATATAAAGATAAAAGGCCGGCAGCACATCTGCAATGCCGTTAGTGTTGTGGGTGATCATCGGCGACGGTAGTCACTTACCACCAGGTGAGCCGCATGCAAGTTTGCCCTCTGTGTTGTAAAAAAAAATATATAAAGATATAATAAACATGAAAGTTCTACCATATTCTACTTTTATAAGGTGAAAAAAAAAAATTCTTTATTGCATTTGAAACGATACAACGATTAGTTCAACAACTTGTTAGCAAGGGTGAGCTTATCTCTGAAAGATATCTCTTCCAGCCAATTTTAAAAAATAAAAAAAAATATAATTCATTTATATTATTGTGGCATATATACATATATAAAACAATCCATTTCCTAAATTATTACATATACATTTCAGATGTCAAAACTTCTTTTAGCTTTATCAATAATTTAGTAGGCATTCTGATATAGTATAAACACATTTGTCAATTAGCTAGTAAAAAAAAAAACTCTCTTAAATTGCCGCAAAGGAAAATTTTTGATATTGTCTGTCCCATATAAATTTTAACATGATAACGAAATCATTTTAGTAAATTAATTTTGAAGTCAAAACATCCCATTTTGCCACAGTTTTGTCAGTTTTTTTTTTGTACAACGTAATCTTAAATTATTAAGTCTAAAAAAGTAATACGTACATATATGTACATAGATAAAAACACTACTGTATGAGACTACTTTTTTCTAATAAAGGTTCCGTACTAATAAAACTAAACTCATAATTTTTTAAAATTTTATTTTACCTTTGTTTTTTCATTTGTTTTCAGCAACATTAAATGATAAAGAGTCTGATGATGTGTGGTAAACATCGCTTATAGACATAAAAAGCATCATGAATATCAGTACACTGTAATGTGAATTCATGTATTACTAATTTTCTCAACTATGGTTCTATCCGGTATCCTGCTTTTGAAATGGAAACATAATCATGAATAAATGAATAAATATAGAACAAGGCATTTAGCCTTGCTCAATATTCTATACTCTAAGTATTGTGTATAAAAATTTTATAAGCCCATACTACCATTGGCTTATCAAATAATGTGTAATGCTATGAGGTGAAATTCTCTGAGCCTCTGTTTTTTTTAGAGCATTGTAATTTGAACAAGCCACCTCTTTAAACTCATCATAATTACCCATGTCGTGCCATTTATTAATCGTTTTTTATATATAAAAAAAGAATTACATTTTTAAAACAGTTTTTGACCATGAGCCAGGTACAAGTATTTTTTTTATATCATGTAAATGGCAAACAAAATGAAAGTCTTTCTGATGGTTAACAGTCGCTATAGCTTATGGACGCTTGCAATACCAGGTATGTATGTTACGTGCGAATTTTTAATCCTAAAGAAAATTTAATACGCCCTTTCTGACGATCCTCATATCATTTCTTGTAATTGTTTATATGTATAATAAGTTTACTATTGTAATCTTTTGGAGGAAAAAAATATCTATCTACAGTCTCTAGGAAAACCTCGACTGATTATAATATTTAACTTATTGTTAAATATTATAATCAATAAATTAATAGCAAAATTATAAAAACACAAGTGTTATTTATTTTATAATTTATTTAAACTTTAATGCACAGTAAAATTCTATGAACATTTGGCGGGCTTAACACTGGACGGAGTTCTCTACCAACTCTCTCTACGGAGTCAACCATTGGGCAAACCGACAAAATACGTAGGAAGTGCTTTTTTGAGTAAAGGAAAAATAAAGCAATACTTGATGAACTCATATAATATGAACATACATAAAATATATTAAATAAATAAATATATACGTACAATAAATACATACTTAAATAAATACATAAAATTTTACTATATAAAACAATTATGTGTATATATGTTCACTTTTTGGTTAAGGAACCCTAAAAACAATTGAATCAATTATTATTTTTACTTTTATATATTATTGTATTAACTACTCTATAAATTCATGATAACGCTGTGTATTTAACAGTACTAATCAGTAACTTTTGCTCAGTTTTGCAATATCTTTGAATATGATATACGTAATATTAATAATTATTGTGGTAACATTGGTGCTTTTGCACCTATACATCAACTACCATGAGGAGGCCAGAGAGTTTCTGAAGATACCCGGACTGAAGGACAGATTCTTGATTGGGAATGCTTTGGAAATATTTATATCGCCAGGTATTTTAGTATTGATAAATAGGTTGGTTTTTATTGTAACCGGAGTTTTGTCTTCGATTTGGTGTTACCACTTTCTAATATAGAAGTCTAAAAGCAGATTTTATACAAAAAATTTCTTTTTTCCCAATTTTGTGTTTCATTCGTCAAACAGCCGTGCTTGCATGAACGTGTTTCGGTTCGAGGAGTGAAATGGCAGTGAAGTTATTAGATACGCAGACATATTATCTAGTTCTCCGAAATATCTCTTAAATGCAAGAATTATGAGCGTTATATTGCATCCTGTAATATGTTGTGTAATTTATAAATATTATGGAGAGTAAATGACCAGAAGGAGACTTTGTACAAAAGTCGTTTGCTTGAGCACCTCTGTCCCATTCGTGTTTCTACCGTGAAGCAGATGTGTTTGCATGACTGTTTCGGTTTGAAGGGTGGGATATGGCAGTGAATTTACAGGGTACAGAGGAATAACACATTAGTCCTCAAGAATAGCAAAGCATGGGGAGTATCATGGGCGAAACAGTATACTCTGTTATGTCCATGGTACTGCTCATGTCTATAGGCGACGGTTACCACTTTCCATCAGGTGGGCCGTCAATTTGTTTGCCATTCTAAGTTGCTTAAAAAAACAATGTTATTAATACTATAAATGTAAAAGTGTTCGTGATTCCTTTTATAATACAAAATAAATAAAACAATGGGCAGTTAAAAATATCACTTTCTTGGTAGAAAGAGTTAACTGTGGCTAATAGTGTTCTCTTGTAATTTGCTATAACTAAAAAATAAGGTGCCACTGTTCCGAGTAATTTCTAAGCTATTTCTACTTGTGAGTAGTTTGTTATTTCCTTCGATTTTATACTACAATAATGAAAAACAAGCATCTTATGGAAAATAGCCCTCGTGGCTTGTAGATGCTTGTAATAATATGATGCTCACAGCCACTTTCTACCATCGTACGGCTCGCCATCGACAGGGAGTTTATCCTCATGTCCTACAGCTTCAATAGTCGCGCGGTTTCAGAGATGTTTCCTCCCACGAACACTCAGGTTGTGGAATGAGCTCCCTGCCGAGGTTTTCCTAAGAGCCTACAGCATGGGGTTCTTCAAAAGGGGGATAATGAGGTTTCTTCAGGTTCAGCAACGCACGCGTAATACCTCTGGTATTGCAGGTGTTCATAGGCTACGGTAACCACTTACCATCAGGTGGGCCGTATGCTTGTTTGCCACCTCAGTGGTATAAAAATAATAATAATAGAGACCTTATATTTCGATAATGAGGAAAGTTTAGTATATACCTTCTGAAGTGCACTTTACCACTATTTCTTCATATGTAAGGGTTTAGTCTTCCAGTTATACATGGCTTTTGATGTGGCTTTACGTGCTTTCCGAAGAACGATGCAAGTGATAATAATTTTGAATCGCTGCAAAAAAGAAGTTGAAAATTTATAGGTTTAGGATCTAGCCTAACTTTCCAAGGTCAAATTGGAATTTGACCTTGGAAAGTTAGGCTAGGATCCCCTGTTCGCGGTCAAGTGTTATTTTACTGAACTAAGATTGTTCTATTGACCTTTATTAGCTATTTTGGATTTTATTTATCCATTTAAAATTTAATGTACAATACGAATATATGTGTAACACTGTATGGTATTCTCTACCAGTAAACCATTGGGAAAACAAATAAATAAGTAGGTGGTGCATTCGTGAGTTAAGTAAACATAATCTGATACTTGATATATTTATATATTATAAACATATAATTAGATTAATATATACATATAAATAAATACTAATAATTTATGAAATTTCAGATAAACTTTTTGATTTAAGGGCTGCAGTGGCTAAACAGTTCAAAGGGATATTCAGATTTTACTCGTACCCTTACAAATCTATAATTATTTATAATCCGGAAGATGCCGAGGTAAGTTAATAAAGTTATTTATGCTTTATTATATCAATTACATTATATGGCCATGTGATATCAGCATAGAATAGGCCACCCCTTCCTTTCCTGTGGGTGTCGTAAGAGGCGAGCAAGCGAGAGCGAGGGATGGGTAGCAGCGTCTCTCTTAAAACATCTCTAAAGCTGATATGATGCTGATGATGATGATGATGATATCGATTACATAACGTTATTTAAAATACTTTTAGATAGATAGATATGTAATTTATTTATATTACTTACTGCACACAAATAATATAGACATAGATAGACATACACAAAAAAAACAAAAAGATTAAAGAACATATATACAAAAAAAAGGAAAATACATAAAAAAGTAACAGAATTTTTCCTTTCATGCGTGTGCCATAGCAAATTGCTTTGCCCTTAAAAGAGAAAAGCAATAATATTGTTGTGGCCAAAAGCGAGTACTTTGTTCCACTGTTTCTGTCTCATACTTTTTTATAAATATGGTTGAGCAGAACGTGTCTAACTGGTAACGTGTATTTTTGTGTATTTATCTTACTTATATAATAAAATTGTAAGTATACTATATATATATGCGAAGGATATTAAAGAACAATGAATATGAAGGGTCTTAATAATCCTAATACAGACCGAAAAAAATAATTTATAGAAATCTTGTCTGTCTGTTCATCTGTATTCCAATGTCACGCAAAAACTACTGTACTAATCTGGACGCAGTTTTTACACTTGTGTTTCTGACAAACACACACACATACAGAGATATAAGACAAGATGTGTTTCAAGCATGACAACTGCTGGCTAAACCCCTTTTTTGGGGGGTTCAGTGGACATGCTGATATATTAAAAAAAAGAATAAGAATGCGTAAAAGTGGCATATAACAACTTTTGTATTGCTGTATTGTGTTATCATCTGTATTAAAAACCTGTATTAAAAAAAATATCTGTATCGGAAATAAAGTATTTGATGCATTGATTTATCAAACGTTTAATTATTTCATTTATTTGTTAACAAGTTTTTACCCACAAGTTTGTTCCCTTAATTGGAATTAAAAGAAGTTAAATGTGCTTTTCCATTCCAAATATTACGTATATGATAAATATTGAGACGATCAGATGAGCCGGTTATAAATCAACTGATGGCAAACAAATTTACTTTCTCTTTATTAATATTGATAAAGATTTGAGCGCACCGATATTTTTAACCTTGACCTTGGCAAGAGTTGTAGTCTTAACGTAACTGACCTAACTGAGGTAAATAACAGATCTGATATAAACGTGACTCTTGTCACAAGGTCGAAATATTGATAGTGAAATCATTCTTAATATTATAAATCTGAAAGTGTGTTTGTTTGTTTATTTTGTCCTATTGCTAAATTTAATGATTCCATCAGTCGTTATTAATTGGCATACGCAATGCTTTATGATACTCATGACGCTGTTCTTGTATGTATATGATTCCAAATTCTAACTGGGCGACCATCAGCTTGCCTGTCACTTCTAAATGCAAAATAAATTAAAATATTATTTTTACAGATTATATTGTCTGGTATGAAATTTTCCGAGAAATCTCGTATATATGAAATTATCAAGCCGTGGTTGGCAGATGGATTACTTCTCAGCAGTGGTATGTTCATATCCATATAATTCATAATCCTTTATGGCAATAATCTAGATTAGGATTTTTTTGTCTGTTTCGTTAGTAACAATGTTTTTTTCATATTTTCTTTAATTCGCGGTAGACCTCGTATGGCATGGACAGACAGGAGAGATGATCTGGATCGCTTGTTTGGGTTGGTACGGCTTAGTCAGTAATCGTGTAACATCGAAACAAATTGGGAAGGCCTTTGCCCAGCATTGGGATACTGGATATATTGAGATAATTATTTAATTTAACAGAAAGTATTTTCACTCAATTGATTGTTGCTTAATTTTAGGTGCAAAATGGCAACAAAGAAGAAAGATCCTGACACCTGCCTTTCATTTTGATATTCTTCGTCAATTCCATATAACTATGGAGGAGAACAGTAAACAATTGACGGAAACCTTAGAGAAGAATATAGAGGAAACTATTAATATCAAGCCCGTTATCACTGATTACACGCTCAACACAATTTGTGGTAAGACATATCTATTATTTAATTTTAGTAAGTATATTGTATTCTGAAATTATACAAACGATATATTCATTTCTGTGGATACAATTCATCTAATTCGAGACTTAATTCTTACTTAAATTTACTGGGTTTACCAGAGACTGTATAAAAATTTTATGCTTGTGTCCCATAGCATAGCAAGCATATGCATAGTTGTTTTAGTTTGAGAGGTGAGATTTTAATATATTATAAATAATATATTATAAGGATGGATCAATGAAAGGAAGGATGGATAGATGTTTTGGACATTTGTTACTTTTTCACACAAGAAGTACTGAATGGATTTGAATGAAATTGTACACTGGTATTAGTTATATCCTAACTTAGCACATAGGATACTTTATATACTAATTAATATGTGCAAAACCACTGAACATAGCTAGCATAATAATAAAATTACAAGAAGTATAACTTATTTACTATTTATATTAAGGGATAAAAGTATATTATTTCAAATAATTTATGCTCAGATTAAATCATACTTTATTTTATGCAGAAACAGCAATGGGAACGAAGTTGTCAGAGGAAACCTCAGCTGCAGGAAAGACTTATAAAAATGCAGTACTTGAACTTGGTAAAACGTTTGCAGAGCGCTTCATAAAAGTGTACTTATTCTTCGAGTTTATTTTTAGTTTGTCTTCATTGAAGACTAAACAGCAGAAGACTATACAAATTGTGCAAAAATTCACAGAAGAAGTTATTAATAAGAGAAAGGAATACATAGATCAAAATGGGTCAGTTATTAATCCTACAGAACCGTACGGAGATGGTGTTTATAAGAAAAGAAAGAAAGCTGCTTTTTTAGATCTATTACTTGCTGCTGAGAATGAGGGGCAAATTGATAGAAGCGGAATACAAGAAGAAGTTGATACATTCATGTTTGAGGTAATCTAAATTTGAATTTACTTAGACAATAACAGTGGTATTAAATTTATTATTTTAGAGGATTTTTACTACAAAACTAGTTTTGTGTATAGTGTGTGTGTGTGTGTTTTATGTATATCTGTCAATGTCTCAATTTCGATAGTAAAATATTACACAATTTTTGATTATGATATAGTTAAGTTCAAAATGAATCAACAGTTTTTAAAATGTGATAGAATACTATTAACAGGGGAATGTATAATTAAATATATTATTTACAGGGGTATAATAATGCAAATATGAGCTTACTAGTCTCCATAAGCAGGATCTATTCAAGAGAATGACGGATGAGTTAACCAATATCATAAAAAAAGCTATTGATAGAATTTCATTCTGCTCTAATAAAAAATATTTTTTTATATATATTTTAGGGCCACGACACAACAGCATCTGGGATTACATTTCTACTTCTGATGCTTGCAAATCATCAAGACATACAGGTAACTGCCAGAGAGAGACTTTCTATGAAAATCGTCTGCTTTGTTAATGTACTGTTTTGGCTAGAAGAGAGGGATTTGTGAAATTACAGGGTACGGAGTCATAACATTCAAGTCTTCTGGATCAGCAATGCTTGAAGAGTATTATGGGCTTCACAGTATATTATAGTATTCACGGTCATGGTATTGTCCTTGTCTATAGGTAGCTACTTTCCATCAGGTGGAATATATATATATATATAGGTTTATATATAAAAAAAATTCATTTACCTCAATTCCCGTTTCATTATGATAGAATATCGTTAATATATGTATATTTTTAGGAAAAAGTTTATCAGGAAATGAAGAGCATCTTTGGTGATTCCACGAGACCAGCTACTACTGATGATTTAGCTCAAATGAAATACTTGGAACTTTGTATAAAAGAGACTTTAAGGCTTTATCCACCAGTTCACTTAGTGGCAAGGAAGTTAAAGGAACCGGTAAAGTTGAGTAAGTATTACCTATATATTTTTGATAATTTACAATATGTTAGTATATAAATAGATACATATTTGTTTTAATTTAAATATTCTATACTTTGTGTCATATAATTTAAAATTCAGTTTTAAAAATCTCGACTGTCAGTTAAGAGAATTGAATATATAATATATATAATGCTGTCAAAAACTTATATATTTTTTATTGTAAAACTTGGTCAATAAAGAATAAAAAAAAATATGTTTAACTTTAACAAGTAATGCTTTATTGTAAGAAATTACAATAGTAAATTTTTAATTAAAAGTAACAAAGACTGTTAATGACCTAGGTAAACCATACCGCATGTAAAAATATTGTCAGTTGAGTTTTGTATAACTCACTTGAACTAAACATACTACAATATATAACATATTACAATATCTAAGTCTTTGTGATGTTTTAAGAGGGACGCTGTTGCCTATCTTTCGACTATTAAGTTCCTTTAGTCGCCTTTTACGACATTAATCCTTCGTCTCAAAGTGGATTGTACATAAATCTTGTTCGTTATTTATAGTCAAAATTTAAAAGAATGTTATGGATAGAACGGCCGTGTGGTCCCGCCATAGAATAGGCCACTTCTTCCTTTCCCGTGAGTGTCGTTAGTCGCCATTAAGAGAGGGCGAGGGATGGGTAGCAACGTCCCTCTTAAAACATCTTCTAAACCTATATGCGGTTGCCAATCCACCTGACAAGCTAGGCAACAACTGGCAAAACCCCTCAAGGGTAGTCTTATGCTCAGCAGTGGACAGATAAAGGCTGATATGATGATGATGATGATATAGAATGATTGTATCTTTATTAGACTACCTGCTGAGTAAATTAATCATGAATTGAGTAATTATGAATGTCACAAACATGATATTGCGTTGATTTGCTTTTTATACTTTGGGTCACTGCGATACACTTTGTGAAAACATATTTTATCTTTTGATTTATATTTAAAAAAGTGTAAATAATCTGATTGTATAAAGTCGTTTGTTAATTTACGTGTGTCATTAATGGCTCAAAGAAAGTGTTTATCTATCTATCTATCTGTCTATCTATCTATCATCTATCTATCTATACTCATCCCCTTATTCTATCTCTAGTTTCTCATCTCGTCTTATGTATGAAGTTGAAATTCTTACTAATACTATAAATGGGAAAGTAAAGTTTTTTTGCCTTATAGGTTACTTTATTACGCTTTAATGGCTTAAACATTCACTGTGTAATTTAATACATACGTAATATATGGGGCGGAGAAGGATATAGGCTCCTTTTTATCTTGATTAGTAGACATATCCCAGGCACGTGAACGACGTCGTAGATAAATTCTAGTTAAATATGTATTTTTTAGGTAATTACAATATCCCAGCTGGAACCGAGTGCCTAATTTTTATATTTGACCTACATCGCCGCGAAGACTTATATAAAAATGCTCTGACTTTTGATCCTGATAGATTTTTACCTGAAAACAGTGTTGATCGACATCCATACGCTTACATACCTTTCAGTGCTGGACCTAGAAATTGTATAGGTAAGTTAAAGTTAAAGGTAAATATAAATATATTAAAAATGTGGTGGTATGGGTAGAATTGTTTTTGAATTAGAGATATCACCAGACTATACCAGATTATACCAGGATCGACCATATTTGATGAAGTACTAATGTGATTATTAATATCAATATTATGATCAATTGAGGGTAGGTTGATATAATAATTACAGTTTTTTTTTATGAAACTCAGAATGATAAAAAAGCTAATAAAAAAAAGCTAAAAAGCTAATTACTCCTCTCCATCCAAAGGTTGCCTGGAAGAGATCGCTCTTAGCGATAAGGTCGCCCATTGTTTTCTCATTGTGATTATTTCTTGTAATTATTTATATTTATAATAAGTTTATGTAATCTTTTGGAGGAAACAATAAAGAGTATATATCTATCTATCTATCTAATATATGTATTTCCTGATGGCGGCAAGTGTCATATGCTGCTTATGTCAATAATTTATATATTTTATTCCCAGGTAAAAAGTTTGCAATCATGGAAATGAAATCAGCAACATCAGCAATTATTCGACGTTTTAAACTTGAAGCAATAACCAAACCAGAAGAAATAAGGTTTGTTGGTGATATGATTTTGCGATCCATTGATCCAATTTATATGAAGGTTGTCAAAAGAAAAATATAAAATCTAAAAATTATTACAGAATCTCCCTAGTTCACTATATTTTTAAAATTTTTGTAAAATGTCAATATTTGACTTGTAACGTTAAAGAATTCCACTCGCAGTTATTAGTTTATTTTTATATCCATATTTTTGATAATCATACGTATTATGTAAATAGTAATTTTACATTTTATAAATTCATATCTATGTATTATTACATATATAATATAAAATAAAAATAAATAATAAAATAATAATATAAAAATCAAAACAGTTGCTTATTACTACGACTATTATCCACTACTATACATTTCTGAAAGATGACCCGAAATTTCTCAATTGGCTGTGCCCTGTGCGTTCTTAATTACACCACGAGACGGATATAACTAGTTCTAAAGCCTGATGTAGTTGTGTTTACCGTGTTATGAACGGGGGTTGAATTCTTGTTGAAAATATATAACAGTTCGAATATAGGTAGGTATACATTAATAACATTTTTTTGGAATTTGTGTTTGTTAAGACAAAATTCGTAAAAGTTTAAAGTAACATATGTACAATAATTTTAATCCAAATGTATTTACATGAGCAAAATTAATATTGCATAAACTTTTAGAATGTACAAATATAGATATTAATTTTAGTACGGAATTAATTAATTTAGTTATTATATATATATATATATATATATATATATATATATATATATATATATATATATATATATATATATATATATATATATATATATATATATATATATATATTATTACATTTAGCTATGTATAGTAGCAGCCATGAAAAACATGGGGAGTAAGATAACCGGAAAAATTAATTGATGTAATTATTAAAGAAGCTTCAATCAAAATGAACACAAGTAAAAATAAAACGCTATACAAAATAGAAAAAAAAAAAAAAACAAAGAGAACTGATATACAAATAGCATTCTTTTTGGTTATGATAGAGAACGCTAGGGAATATTAGGCGATAAATGCACAAAAGCAATCGTAAACCAGAAATAAAAGAAATATTTAGAATCACAATCTTGTAAGGAAACAAAAATTAAGCACTTGAAATGAGGAACAGAAGGAAATAGAAATAACAAACTAGATACAGATAATACTGAACAAGGAGATAATAAGAACAATAAATGAGATAAGATTATTGACGTAAGTAATTGAGTATAGAAAAAAAAATATATGTCAAAACACTAATGGTTAGCTGGTAGAGAATGCCATATGGCATTAAGCTCGCTATTTGTACAAAGTTTTATTGTGCAATAAAGAATAAATAAATAAATAAACACTTGGGATAAGGATATTTTTATAAAGACCGATTATTGGAATGAAAGATATAATTTAAGAAAGGAAATCGAAGATTTGAAAAGTAATAAAATAAGAAGGAAGTGTTATTTACGTGAAATTAAATTTAAGCATTTTTTTTATTTTACCGCTTGTTTCTTTCCAAAAACTTGATTATTATGAACAATAAAAAATTAAATAAGTCGTGTAATAAAAAAGGAGAAATGAGCGGGAAATTTGAGAAGTTGTTGACAATATGCGAAGTTAAAAAATATATAACAATATGTATTGTTTGCTTCATCTTGGGTGACAGCGTAGTTTTTAACCTGATAAGAAAAATGGTCACGGTTAATGGCTGTATACAAGATAAGAGTTAAATTAAATATATAATAAAACAACAACATACTTATGCAATTCCTAAAGGTTGACTGGTAGAGAATGCATATGTAGCATTAAGTCCGCCTTTTGTATCACATTTTATTGGTCAATAAAGTTCAAGTAAATAAACGAATACTCAATCACGAAGAAGAGTAATATCACATATTTGTTTTGTCATTTCATAATATAATTAACAATAGTAATAACAAGTAATTTGTTTAAATTGTTATTAATTTATTATTTTGCTTTTGTTTACAACTATAATAATAAGAAATAAATAGTTGCATGTTATTATCTATTTTAAATGGATATGAATAAGTACGTTTTTCTATTATAGAATATTCGAAACAACAATCTGTAATCATATTTTAAAAGTTAGTAGCTTTATTAATTATAAAATTAATATGTGATCAATATTTAGTAAATTTTATCTATTGCAAAAAGAATTATCGAAGTCAGTTCAAAACTGGTGACGTAATCATATAATATAATTATCAAATAATATAGTAAAACATAGTTCGAAAAATTTGCAAAATATTTTTAAGTAAATTTCTTGAGTAAGTTGCATTTCTTGTTGCGTAAATAAATAAAAAGTTGACCTTTCCAATAAATTAGATGGTTGCAAGTTACTCTAGAATTTTTTTTTATTACCAAATTCAATGATATAATGAGCATCACTATAAATAAAAAGTAACGTCTTATTAACAATATTTGTGTCAAAATTATATAAAAAAAATGGGATAACACACAAATTGGAATAGAATGTCTGTGTTTTTTGTATTCACATATGTTATAGGTGGTGTTATTACTTATTATTTTATGCAACTTAGAATTGCTAACAAGTTATTATTACTTATGTTATCATCATCACCACCACCATCACCATCATCATCATCATATCAGTCGTTAACTGTCCACTGCTGAACATACGATGTGAACAGACGCATTCAGATAATGTTATGTCTATATGCGTTCGCTCATATCATCTTTTATTTTTACTGTTCCAGTAGACAAAATAATAAACATGTAGATAAAATGTCTGTAATATATTGACCCTGATGAACCTTTATATTTACAAAGATAATGTGATATCTTCATTTTAGGGTTCTGTACTGAAAATGTACAAAGGAACCCATATGGTGCGCATTTGTTTGACTGTCCGTCTGTTAGCACGGGTACACACGTTACTAGTATAGTATTATTGTAATATAATATTATACTAGTACTGTTAAAGGATACACAAAATTTTAAAATTAATCTACTAGTTTAAGTGGGATATCATTTGAAAGGGTTTTATTAAACTCTATTTTTTATATATTTTTGTGCTGCACAATTTTGAAGTTACAACAAAAATGAGAAAAAAAACCATTCTTCCCTTATCTCTAAAGGTTTCTAAGCTTAAAATCTGAAATAATTACAGTTTATAAAGATATATGTGAATATTGAAGATAAAATAATGTTTCGAACACCATTAATTTTAAGAAATTATTAAAAAACCTCCGAAAACAAATTTATGTAGTCTAGTTTTTAACCAACATGTATGTAGTAGATATATTATCATCACCATCATCAGCCATTATTCGTCCACCGCTGGACATAGGCCTTCCCCATAGACTGCCATAAGAAATGCTCGGATATATATAACTAGATATTGGTAAAAATTTTGAAATGCATAATTACATTTTTGTTTTGCTAAAGGGTGACTAGCAGAGAATGTTGTATTAAGTCCGCATTTAGTATCAAACATCAATAATATATTTATTGCACTAGTAAATTACATTGTTAATGCATCTATAAATATTGTGAGCAAGGGTGGACTTATCTCTGACAGTCAACCCAATACAGTTAGAAAGCATGTCGTTAGCGGGCAGCTAAAGTGCTATAACTAATAATATTTAGAATACGAATTAGTATTAACACTAATCAATACATAGACAAACATACAGTTGAATAAAATATTAAAATGTATACTAAAATATTACTTAAATATATATTTTATAAATAAATATAATACCTTATTTATTTATTATTAATTGCAGTTTGTTACATTGCAGTTTTTTTCTTTTTTTAGTTATTACTGATATGCTAGAAAGCTGGCTGATTTTTGCACATACAGGTTCGCCTTTCACATAATTTATTTTCAGTATACATATTTAATTTATATTTGCGCGATCATAATTAAATGTTAAGTTTAATGCAATAATAATAACTACAAGAAGGTAGCACGACGTTTAAAACTTACCTATATATATATATATATATATATATATATATATATATATATATATATATATGTATAATAAATGATAAATAAATTTATATATATATATATATACATATAAATTAAACAAATAAATGTAGTATTAATAACATTGATTATTAGGTCTCTATTTTGTACGATGAATACAATAAAGGTCATTTTATATAATATATATTATATTTATATACGGAACCCTTGGTACATCAACTCGCACTTCACCAATTTTATCACATGGACTATCCCAGTACTTATCTCGAAATAAGTCATTCAATTGATATAATTACAATTTTTTTGTGATTTTACTTCATCACTTTACGTCATTAAGTAGTATTGATTATAAATTATAAACAAAGTGATATAAACAAAATATTGTTTTATTGATTTAATTAAACATTATATCTAAATATAATAAATTAGGTATATAATTATTTGAAAAAATATAAATTGTATTATGCATAATTACGTATGCGTGGATTTTTATTTAGTTTTATAATTTATTATACACACTAATTGTAGCTAAAAAAATATGACAGTGGAAAGTAAATGTACAAAAGTGAGTTTAACTTTTTAAGAGCTCTCTTCTAGCAAGCCTTAAGTGAAAAGGAGCATCAAGAATCACTTCTAGATGGCGTATCCAGATAAACATTCGCTTATCTTTACGTATATAATTTCAAATACATAACTATAAAAATATAAATTTAAATAATTTTTAATAATTTTGCATGAAGGGCAATAGTATACTATGTTATGTTCATATATATTGGCGACGGTTACTACATTCCATCTGATGGCCCGTTAACTTGTTTGCCATTTTAAGTTGCAAAAAAAAAAATTTTTAAGCTAAAAATAGAATAATGAAACCGGATATTTAAACAACAAATAAACAACATTTAAAATAAAACAGTTTAACTGAGATCGGAAACTGAATGATAACAAGCACATTATTTTTATTATTACAACATTAACGTAATAATTACAAGGTTATATATATATATATATATATATATATGTAATATTTATGCAATATTTATGCAATATTTATGCAATAAAGTGTTAAATAAATAATATTGTTAATTCTTTGTAACATATACCGAAGTAAAATAAAAATAATATACCATTTTTTTATATTACAAAGGTGGCAAACAAATATTTACTAGTCTGATGGTAAACGGATATTTTTTTTTTATTACAACACAGGGGGCAATTTAGCATGCGGCTCACTTGATGGTAAGTGACTACCGCCTCCCATGATCACCCACAACACCTACGGCATTCCAGGTGTGCTGCCGGCCTTTTAAAAAGGAATATGCTCTTTTCCTGAAGGTTATGTTGTCGTATCGGTTCGAAAATATCTAATGACGGACGCCTGCGACACTATGGGTATCACGTGCGCATTGTCGACCTTGAAAAAACTTTAATACACACCCTTTGAAGAACCCTATACTGTTTTCCCTAAAGAGTATAATATAGGGTTAGTACAGGAGTAGTATAGGAGTACAGTATATTTTTTAATTAATGATAATGGAATGGTAACCTCACCCGCGCTATCGGTATACACTAGCGGGGCACCAGTGAGGGTTGATAGATGAGGATGTCAGGATGGTTTTTTTTTTTTTTTTTTTTTTTTTATTAATAAAGTGATTTCTGTCGCTATCTTTGAGGCGACAACTTTCTAATCTGTTTGTAA